ATATATATATATATATATATATATATATATATAAAACTAGGGTTAAATTCCTAGGAAGACTAAAATTTCTCCATTCCAAATTTCTAAATAATCCTTTTCCCTTCACACGCTTCACTTGCCATTGTTATCCATTCAAGATTAACCCCATTATTCTCCCACATTTTTTTGAATGCTCATAATCCTCCGAGGTAAATGGGCCCTATCACTGTCGCATTAACAAAGCACGCGACTGACGTGGTTATGACGGCAACAGGATACCTCTGGTCTTCCACCCATGCTCACCCCCATCCTGCCAGCCACCGCTATAAGGGAAGCTTCTCTCGAAATAATAATCATCATTGTATACATGAATTATTTCGTCTTTATTATCCTTTTTCACAAATATAATGAATAGAAATTCTCGGTGGATGGAATGCGTCATCGAATCTGAATATGGATTTTTTTCTCATCCACTTGGCGCTTTGTCGAGCTGTCTCCACCCACCCCACTTATTACCCCTTGGGACGAGACCTCTTCCCTTTTTTTCTCTTTACATTTTTTTTGTTTTTGTTTCCATCCTCATTGCGGATCGATTATACTTTCATCGTTTTCTCTTTCGTAATTGGAACGATCGATTCGTTTTTTTTCCTTTATAATTTTCACTGTCAACCGTAGCATTAATTTGACTTGTGCAACATAGTCATCCTCTAGAGCAACATGATTGTCATCATTGAAACCTAATCAGGCTCACCTGGAATGACGCGATTTGAGAAATACAGTTTTGAAAAAGTAAATGTTTTTCTCACGTAAATCAATAATTCGCAAAAAAAAAAATTTCTCAGTGTAGTTTCATCTCCAAAGTCAATTGGAATGGAAGAATTATTAAGAAGAGATTCACCCTCATAAAAGTCTACGGTATACAAGTCTATTGAGACATTTTTTTCATCCGTTTCAATAAAGTCCCCGAGTTGTTTCTGCGAATATCCAAGATGAGCATCCTGGAGGCTTATTGATTCCAATATAGCGTGATCCAGTGCTCTCAGACGGGTGCCTTTAAGAGCCAATATGTCAATAAACATTGAATTCCCACCGATACAATCCAAAACACCAATAACTTCATGTTTATACGGGGATTGAGTTCTGTGCAGGTATGGAATCTACGGTATTATCGATTCCGGGTTTTGTTTATTGACGATGAAAAGAGAATACCGTAAAAAAGGATCAATAAAGTAGGGTGAAAGCTGCTGCATACAGACGCATAAAATTTCACTTTCACGTTTTAATGCGTTTAATTCTTCATATTCTCTTCTTTGTGGCTGAGATGGAAGAGAAAATAAGTGAAGGAAAAAATGTCTTCACTTGGAGATTCTGTCTGTTTCAACTTGGGAAGTGGGGAACACCCTTGAATCCAGGAAATGCAGCGGGAAACGTGGAATTCGTCAGAATGCGCGTTAAACTGTCCCATGTGCACTCGTAAAGTCGTAAAAGTTGCACGTCAAACAAATACTTTTTTTAGGATACTTCAAGTATAGATGAACATGAATGTAGCTTTCTGAGATTCCTGGGAGGGCATTCAGTGAGTGGGCCTTGAACAACAAGTAGTTGAAACCAATAAAATGATCGTTTACCTCGTTAAGAGGAGCAATAAAAATACTTGCACTTGGAAAAAAGTTCATTCGCATCAGATAAATTCATTCATTCCAGTTGGCTCTTCTTTTTTGCGAGAGGGTAAACCGTTAAGTCATTTCGAAGAAGCGATTTTGCAATGAAATGTTTTGAATTGTAGCACTTGACGTATGGGAATTTAGTGTCGAGTTTTGGTGTTGTTGTCAGTTTGCTACACACGAAATTCTTTGTAGGGAAATTCTTGCGTAATCTTGAATTCGCAGTAAAGACAGTCTGACTTTTCAGGCGTTTTGCCGGCATTTCGTACATGTTTGGCAAACAATTCTAAGATATTTGTAGACGGAGAGAAATTCTCGAGAAAAATTCAGTAGCGAAGTGGTAAAAGGGTTTAAGTCGATTTATCTCTCAGTTGAGATTTTGAGGAATATCTCCGAATCTAAGGGAGATAGCGAAATTTTCGGAATTACATTTGTTGTAGCACTCAATCGGCTCTACAAAAAAGGTTATAACAACAATTTTGCTATCTCCCTTAGATTCCGAGATATTCATTGAAAACTGGTCAATAGTCAAAATTGACTTGTACCGTTTTACCACTTCGCTACTGAATTATAGTACTAGCACGGAAAAAAAGGCTCGTATTGGAAATTTCATTAAGTAGCACGAAAATTCTTCATAGCCGGTGGATTGGGATTTTTTCCACGACAATTTTTCTAAAGAATTTCTCTTCTTGTAAGCGTCTCAAAGTTGTTCACCAAAAATATCTGCAATTCAGACTGCAGTTTTTGATTATCAATACACTGTTAGAAAAAAAAATGAAATTTCATGGACAGTTGACTACCAATTTTTAGGACACTGAATGTGATTTAGGGGAAAAAATCATGAAATTCCAGGTTTTACTGAAAATTCTGTAAAATTCCAAAATTTTAAGCAGCATAAAGGCGAGACTTCTTCAATTTATTTGAATTTCTAATCCAGTAGGAATATTCAGTGCCAAATTACATTGAATTGTCAGTGAAATCTAAAATTTCATGATATTTTTGCCCCTAAATGTACTGGAAATTTCAGAGAAAATTTTTTAACAGTGTAGGAAAATTGTTTCGAGAATTTTCCGGGACTGGATTTTAGCCAACCACAGCGCAGTGTTCGAGGTCACAATACTCTTTTGTTATCAAATTTTTTCGGAAATTTTCCTCATCCAAATGTCAGCCAATAGAATTGCACTGTTCGACTGTTATTTCATATAGTCAACACGGTATTCAGCTGATAATTTTTGATAATTCAACTGGTAATTTTTCATGTTGACTATATTTGTGGAAAACAAAAGATTCCGTGGTCGAGTGAACCCCTGGTTGGAACTGTCAGATGGATTTTGTCTCATAGTGCAATTTTTTTGGCCGACATTTGGATGGGAAAATTCCCTCCCGAATACTACTCGAGCTTCAAAATTAATCGAGCAATTCCCTCAAGGTTCCCTGCACACCAACGAACCTATCGGGAATTGCTCGATAATTTTGAAGCTCTCGTGGTATTACTTGCGGAAATTGCACACTAGCTTCTGGAAATTGCATCTGATAATTGCATGGTAGCTCTTCATTTATTTCTAACCAATTGGATGTTTTGTTGGAAGAAGCCCTCGAATACTGCGCTCCGCTTGGTCAAAATCCAGTCCCGGAAAATTCTCCGCCGAATACCCCTCGACCTTCAAAATTAATCGCAATATTTCCCTCAAGTTTCCCTACAAACAAACAAACGTGTCAAGTTTTGCAGAAAAATCCCCCGTGCTACCCACTCGGTATTTTTAGCCTGCAAAACTTAACACTTTCGTTCGTTTGCAACGAAACTATCGAGAAATATTCCGATAATTTTGAAGGTCTTGGGGTATTATAACTGAAAATTCTCAATATTTAAATTTAAAATTTTTAATTTGGAAATGAATTTGTTCGTATTCAACAATATCTTCTTCGTTAAACATTGAAGTGATACATTTCGGAATCGCAAAATTCATTCAGTTTGCTCTTAACTCTATATCCGTCCAAGAATAAACCGCTGATGAAGAGAAAAGGAGACTTTTGTCCATTTATGTGGAATTCTGAAGATTGAAAAATCCCAATTTCTTCATCCCTTTGCTTTTTCATGTCTTCTTCCATTTGGATTCGTTATCTTTTTTTCTTGTCAATCATCTACTAATTAAACACACAAGAATTTTCAACACAGAGAATGGAAAGGGGCAATAAATTCGGCCATACCACTCTCTTAAAACGCAAGAAATCATAAAAAAGCGTTTTCGCCAAAAACTCAAAATTCCTCCGCTTTACCTCTCAAAATTCCCCCGGAAAACGGTCTCCCAACACTTTCTCTCAAGAATCTCTCATCATCTTGATAATAATGTCACCACAAACTAATTTACGGTTCCCCTAAAAACCCTCTGAATTCCTTTACATTTCCTGCCCCACAAAAACGTCCCCTCCCCTCCTCCACCCCTCTCATTCCATCTGTCTCATTGTCCCTCAACAGTAACCAATTCACAAGAAAAGAATTGATCAAAAGAAGCCACAAAAATTGATTATCGATTTCAATAAAATCTGAGAACTGTAAACCTCAGCATTCCTCTTCCCCTTCCCCTCCCACGCCTCTGCTCTGCCCCAAGCCTACCCTCATTTTTGGGTTAAAAGAGCCCGCGAGCGATTTAGCAAGAAGATTCTCCTCCTCACCGACCTGTAATCTCGAGACCCCAGAGCCGCCTGCTCTAATTATACAGTTGCGTTTTGGCGCACTTGGTTCTCCCCTCCTAATTGGTTTTCCACCCTGACCCCCTCCCCCTCTCCGCCTTTATTTCCGATTNCCTTTATTTCCGATTCCTTTCATGCCCCCCCCCCAAAGGTTGATTTCTAAATGGATCCTTAATCATCTCATATCATTCATTCACATCTCCTATTTATTTTTTTTTTCAGGTATTTGGGCCTTGAGCCTGGAATAGCTGGGTCTGAGGGCGTACCAGGCGGTCCCGACGGTGCGCCAAAGATTGGCGCGGGTGTCATTGGTCCAGCGAGCGCCGAAAGGAACTGCAAGAGCTCACACTTGACTGTCAAACAGCAGGGGATATGTTCACGCTCGCCTCCGATTCTTCAGGTGAGTTGTGCTCGACCGTATCTGATGAAAAAGGTGGAAAAAAAAGGAGAAAATGAAAAAAAAAGTGAAGCCCTGGGCGTAACGGGCTGATGCAGTACGGACGATCATTTATATCTGTAGTTCCCTCCTCTGATCTTTCGCACGAGCTTTTACATCAGTGAAAAAATGATAAAATAAGACGAAAAAAAAACACCTCAATAAGAGGAGAAGAATTTTAATCGTCGACGTTTAATATCGCTTTTAATTTATCGATCGTGAACATTCTCACAAATATTTTAAATATGTTATGTTTTTTTTCCTCTTCCTTTTTCCTTTTTTTCTTTCATTTCATGTTCTCACACCGAAAATTTTTAAAGCCTGTTTGCCTAATGTAAAAACCTCGTTCGTGTCGTGAAAAGTGTGAAGGGTCTCTTGACCACTGGCCCATCGGCTTTTTTCACATATTTTCTCAGCCTATAGCTGTTTCTCGAAAAGAGAAGTCTCAATGAATATTCAGAGTTTGAAGTGAGTTAGAATGTCTCTGGCGTCAAATTAACAGGCTAAATAACTTTTTAATTTTGAGGAGAACATGGGACTCAGCGGGCCAGGACTATAAACTGAAAGGAACGGATGTTATGCAATTGAATGGAATGGGGAGAATATTGAAAAGAGATGAAAAGAGGAGAGGAGAATAAATAAACTGTCTCTGTTCATTGAGTAATCTGTATTTCTGTCGTTTACAGGCAATAAGTGCAGGGGCTAGGCTTGCGATAGAGGAGTGCCAGCACCAGTTCCGCTCAGCCAGATGGAACTGTTCAATTTCACCGGAAAATCCCGAGAATATATTTGGCGGTGTTATGCTAGTCAGTAAGTGGAAAATATTGATGCATTCCATAATCAATCGGTCCATCAACAATTTTCATTTAAAGAAATTATTTTTTCCGGAAATTTCTCATCGACTATACGTTTTGGCGAGACATTATCGAGAGATATTTGACGATCAAATTTCACGCGGTTCGCGTGCGTTTTTTTTTCCACGGGTACCAGAATACTAAAACCTAACAGTTTCTCACTATCATTAATCCGTATTTAAAAAATAATGCAGGAAAAATGAACGGTTTCAACGTTTTTTACAATGAGAATTTAATTGTTGAATAATTTATTCGGAATCGTCATAATCCTCTTCATCTTCTTCTGCGTTTCTCTTTTGTTTTTTACGTTGTTTTTTATTTTTCGGGATGTATTATGTACTATATACATATATACTGTCCTATATATTTTTTACAAAACTATGTATTTTTTTATTACAATAAAAAATGAATTTCTCTTTTTTTTACTATTACTGTGAACAAAAGATTACAGTACATGAAACAATATACATTGACATCATATTACATTACTTGATAAGCGGAATATGGACCAAAATTACAAATTAGAAATTTTTTCTTGTCTTTCCTGCTCAGGCGTAACATTTACGATCGATAGTGAAAGCAAAGAAAACTCCAAATCGAGTCATTTGAGAAATTCAGCAGTACATTCTAAAGAATGATTCATTTTTGAATTAAATAAGTTTTATTGGCATCAAATAAATGAGTCTCAGTCGCAATAAGGCTTTTTCGTGAGAAGACCCGGTAAACCGCGATTCTAACCTCGCTTCGCTCGGTTTGATCGCGGTTTACGGGCCTTCTGACGAAAAATTGCATGCATCACACGGTCCAAAAGTATTTTCTGACGAATGTGATTATAGGCCTCGCTTTCAGCTCGGCCTACAATGCCACATTCGTCAAAAAATTCTTTGTGGACCTTGTGATGAAAATAACTATTATTCAAACTCAAAGTTAATTTTTAACTGCGGCTATATTCGGATCAAGTGAAATTCACATCAAATCAAATAATTTTCCAATTTAATTAAATTAATTAAATTGCGTAAGAAACATTTGAAAAAAATTATCAATATTCAGCGTCATTCATTATACATTTTCCACAGAATTATTATTTTTTCAAACATTCGTTGTTGATAAATAAATAATTGAAATTGTTCAAACTTTCGGCATGAAATTTTTTTTTTAGGCATGAAATTGATTTCTGATAAAATGCGGAATATTAATAAATTTGTTACGATTTCGTTCAAATGAGTTTTACGACTGAAAATTAATTGTTTATAAATTATTCATAAAGACTGCTCGTCATTTTCAAAAATTGCAAATTTTAAATTACTTCATCAATTCTCTTCCAAATTCAAAGTTTCAATTTTTTTTTTCAGATTTTTAAAATGTTTTCTAATCGTTCAATATCGAGATTCAAATTCAGACCTGCAAAGTTTAAATAATAAGATTATTGGACAATATGTCCGGAAACTTACGGTCAAATAGAACTTAAATGAAAGTCTGATGTTCGACTACAAAAATAGAAAAGCATTTCACTGGGGAAAAATAGCAGAAGTATTTGGATATCCTTAAGTATATGAGTTTATTAACATCCGCCAAAAAATGAATGAAAAAACTGCAAATAAAGAGTTTCATCTGATTGAACTTCGTCATTTCTTTGGATGTAAGCATCAAAAATGAAAAACTAGATAATCAACACCTTATGACACGCATCAATTATAAAAACATTAGCATATGCCCTCCAATGATTAATCATCTGGTCAACAATTTCGATGTTATTTTTCTATAATTAAATTGAAGATAAAACAAGCGATATTAATCATTCGTTGATGAGATAATTTGATTACTCTTGATGACTCTGAAGTCACTAGCTAGTTCATTAGAGTAATAGAGCAAGATTAGAGTAATGATAGGTGATGACGATAATGTGTTTCTATTATTTGTAGATCAGGTTATCGGGTGGATGATCAATAAATAATTGGATCCATTAATTTCCACAGACAGTCGTGAAGCTGCTTTTGTGTACGCAATATCGGCAGCTGCTGTCGCTTACAGCGTAACCAGAGCGTGCTCCAGGGGCGAACTCACCGACTGCTCTTGTGACAATCGAGTGAGGACGCGTCATCCAAATAATTGGCAGTGGGGTGGCTGTAGTGAGGTAAGAGTGCTAATTTCTAGAATAATACGATTATTGCATGAAAGACTGAGAGAATATCACAGCCGTTCCTTATTGTTTTTGCTTCTATAATAGTGTTATCTGTCGATGGTATATAGACCATGAGATTCATTGAAAGTGAACAAATATGGATTTACCCCTCTAGGGATAGACTGGGGTTACTCATCACCCCTCGCATCTTTTCTTCACTGAGAGAAATATTCGCATAATATCACAAAACGATTAGATTGGTCACCATATGAGGGACACTCCGCCGCGCGTCGTTTTTCCTTAAGGTTGTTGTCGTGTAACTTTTTTTTCGGCATTTTTTTTCAATTTTTATCGTAGATAGCTCTAAGAGTTAGCTGTGAAATAAGCCCATTATAATTGCAATTGACCGTCTCAAACATGAGATACATTTTTTTTAATTTTACGTTGTTAAATGCAGTTTCACTGTTTTCAATTAAAAAAAAAACAACTCGACATTTTTCATTAAAAAAAAAGTGTAGAAATAGTGTGAATCAATCTACTGAAAAAAATGAAATTGATTGACCATTTAATTTCCGAGAAATCATCACAGAAAGTTGGTCTTTTTCCCCAATGGCCGGGACAAGTGAGTTCAGTACGCGAGACGTGGCAACGTACTCAATAAAACAAACCACGAATTCTGCCAGGTTAGGAGTCACACGAACAGAGGGACACAATCCGCGTGGTTGCCACAATCGACACCATTCACGTACGCGTGAGCCGAGTCGAACTGTACATTAGCACAAGTTTTTGTTTCAACCGGGGTTCTTCGTTCATTTACTGAACGTTTCAGATTTATTCTCTTATATTCCTATAGAAATTCACTGAAAATGATTCTCGCTTGCGGATTACGTGAAATGTTCCGTAATTTTTCTTGAATATTTCTCTCCGTGTTGGTGTACAATCTACTATCCCAAAATTCCAAACGAAAACAAATTATTTCGAACAGGTGAATAATTTTTTCCCATGTTAAATGAAATTGCCCATGACGCGACGTTGCCGGAAACTCGCTAAACACGCGCGGACTGTGTAGAGTGAATTCGGCAACGCTAGAGCGTAAATAACACGGCGGGGAATCCCCGCGTAGGTGACCAGAGTCGTCGCCACGCGGTTGGTGACCAGACTAGGGTTAAAGACAAATCGGTTTGGGCAAGATTTCCGCATAATGATGCAGACAATATAATATTTTGGTGAAGTACTCATAACTTGAACATCAACACTTCACGATAAAGAGAGAGTTTCATGCCTCTAGAAATCATTTTTGCTTCCGACTGGAAGCCTTGCATTTGGCCGATTTTTCGATTTTCTACTTTTGATTGCAAATTGTCTAGAATATTAGAAAATGCGAGGAAATGATATTTTTAGCATCACGCATTCATGTACATATGTGACAACTGGAGTTTTTAATGATCAATTTTTAGAAATTTCAACATAATTACGGTAAAGTTTGTAGATAAAAATCTGAAATTTTTGCTCATTGTAGCTATGATAGAACTCAACTTTGGCGTGTTGGCATATACATACGAATATCTACACCCATCCGGGTATATTCTAAAAATAGCATATTCGAACTCCTGAGATGAAAATTATTATAGTTATCCGGACACAAAAAAAACGAATATTTAGATTTTACGATTGTATTTGTCCATTCGGAAGAAAAAATGTCAAAAGTTGTCGATTTTGCCTCACTCTCCCTTAGTCTCCAAGACAGAAAGTCAAACTCTTGTGTTGATAAAACCAATTTTCGTAATATGTCAAGAAATATTGGAGAACAATAAGATATCTTCTTTCTCAGAATTCAGAATAAAATCTTTCGAATTTTCAATGACACAATGCGCAACCTTCAATTTCATCAAGTTCTAAACAGAAAATTGTTCTGAATCACCTAAGAGAAAAGTCTGCGGTGAGCTATACATCTCCAATAAATTACCGAAAATCATCCGTCATAAGATCAACTTTTATCATAGAAATTCCTCAACAAATTCAAGTCCCAATTGAAGAATATTTTCCCAGTGTAAACATCGGAACGAAAGAAATGAGCGATATCAGACAATTTTTATCTTTGTTTGACTCTTATTTCATCGTTCCACATCAACAAGCTAAAAAGTCGTGTGTCAACGGTGAATGGATGCATTTCACGTGAGCAGGTGACCCCTTGTAGACATTGCCAAGCTTACAAGGGGGATTAACCCCTGTAGAACCGACGGGGAAAGGGGAGTATAAGCTTGTTAAGTTGCAACAACCCTCTCAGGTACTATTCCCCGTACAATGTTTTTCGAGCCTCTCGACAAGAACCTCCGAGATATTACAACGTTTTTGGTCTGTCACTGACATGCTCACATTTGTGGATTGAAACACAGCTATTTGTCTTCACCCGAGGTTGAAATATTTCTGACACTATTTTCCGGGGGAGGGATAAAACCCAGATAACAATGTTTGCACTGTCCTAAAATCCCCCTCCGCGGAATGGTTCAGCGGATTTCGTCGAGTACTTGAGGATGACAATGCTCTAAACGTGACCTCATTTGCTATTTCCAGGATATACATTTCGGTGAGAAACTCTCGAGGGAATGGTCGGACGGTGCAGAGGAGCCGGTGAAGGATGGAGTGGTGCAGGGACCCAAGACCCTTGCGGGACAACTCATGAGGAAACATGACAGTGAGGCTGGAAGGCGAGCTGTGCGCTCGAGGATGCAGCGTGTTTGCAAGTGTCATGGTAATGATGTCAAATTAATGGTGAAAGTCGTTCTTATTTTATAGCTCTGGAGGCTCCCCATCAAAAAATATATTTTTATCACGCTGTGCGAAAAAGTAACTTTTTAGGCACGCTTCGCGTACAATATTTTTCATCACAATGTGGCGGAAATTGGACTTTTAGGCACACGGAGCGTGACGAAAAGTTCACTTAAAAGAAAAATAGAAAGGTAAAAACTTGGAAAATTCGAGTCGAGGCAATTCTATAAAAAATATTTCAATAGATTAAGTTGTATAGAAAAATGGAATGCTGCTGACTTTCCATACAAGATTTTCTATTGAACATTTCAATAGAAGCGGCCAAAAACTAATCGTAAGTCTAATAGATTTGTCTAGCGAATTGACTGGGTTATTCAATCAAATTTTTTCGCGCGTGAATCGATGGAACGACTTGAACTCTACAGAATCATTCAAGAATTTCCTGGAAATAAGTGAATTTAGAGAGAAATCCATGAAATCATTCACAAGGAGGAAATTTTTTACAAAGAAAAATAAATTATGACTCCTATAGCTACTCATCATTGAGGTGAAGGACAATCGATAAAATCATTCCAATGCATTCGAATCCTAAAAATAATTTCGTAAATTTCTCAGAATCCTATGAACTGAGGGGACACTGTATCGACCCATTTTTTTACTTAATAATGATTTTAAATAGTACACCCAGGGAAATGGTTCACTTGACTGAAACAAACTTCATTTGAATCAGGTAAACTGCATTATTCAAATAACTCGTAATCAAGCTTTCATCCAAACTTAACGCATCAAAGATGTAATTTTGGAATCCTTGATTCAAATGAAGACTTTTAGTTATAAACAAAATCATTATTCAGACGGTGAATAGAACTAATTTATTAACATGTAATAATCGTTTATTGGTTCTAGTAGAGGATTTATCTGGAAAGGATTAATTATTTATTTAATATGATAGCAAATTTGTCATTTAAAAAAATCTATGAGTTTTTTCATTTTCAACAAAAATATTATTGAAGTGAAAAGAAAAATTTCGAATAGTTTCATTTGATACACTTGCGTCATTCTTGTAAATGCTACAGTAATAATCGAGATAATGATTGTTGCACACGATTTAAAAAATACTTATTTAGATTTGACAGAATATTGTCAATTACTTTCATTTTTATCGATATCCGTAATGAGTTGGTCTAGAAAAAAGTGTCAAAAGACATGAAATTCTCTGCAAAAACAGTAATCAGCAGTAAAACCACTCAGTACCGAGATAATTCAGCATTCAACGAGACGTTTTATCTATTCTCCACTGAGTTATTCAGTTTTATGATTGATTCAATGTTTTTTTTTAGGGATGAGTGGCTCGTGCAGTGTGAGAGTATGCTGGCGAAAACTCCCGGTGTTCAGAATGGCAGGCACAGCCCTGGCAGCCCTTCACGAGGGCGCCGCAATGGTACGTGTGGCACAGAAAGGCGGAAGACGACAACCCAGACTGAGGCCGGCTCGCGCTGATCTCAAACGACCAAATAAAACCGATCTGGTATATCTCGAAGATAGTCCTGATTACTGCGAGCGAAATCTCACGTAAGTCATTTATCTTTATTTCCTCCATTCCCTATTACTTTTACACACTTCGCAAACTTGTCTTCAGATTCATTAAATAACTTGTTGAATTTATGGGGAAATAATTCTAAATCTACTCGTTCAAAAAACGAGTTTTCAATGTTACTTGGATTTTTTTTTATTTTTCGTAATCCAAAATTGTCAATTGAGTGGTACATCATGTAGAAATTCCCAAAAATTATGATAGAATGATAAAAAAAAATAGAACCAATTCTGAACTTTTTCAAAGAGCGTTTTTAATTGAGATTCTGAATGAGTTGAAAAAAGTGGAAATTACAAATATCTGATTCGCTGTGGCAAATTATCTATTAGCTGTCATTTTCCATGGTGGATAACAAAACACTAACTCCTCATGGGAAGTGACAGCTAGATATCTCAATTTTCAAAACAGTGGAATGTAGTAATCTGCCATTTTTATGTGATAAAAGTGTGATTAAAAAATTCTCCAATATATTACAACTTTTTTCAAAGAGCCTTTTCCGTAATAAATGTCTCTGTGCAGTTTGGGAAAAGATTTACGAAATCAGTCTTCCCCCTGCATGATATTGGGCGACAGGCCGCCATTTGTCACCGTAAATCAGATACATTTTTCAATTTCTTGTTATTCAACTTATTCCGAATATAAATTAAAAATACTCTTTGAAAAAATTAAGAATTTCTTCTACTTTTTTTGATTATTTATTCATAATTTTCCAAAACTTCTGCTTGATGCAGGACTTAATTGAACATTTCAGATGACGAAAGATGAAAAAAAACATCGAGATAACGTTCGAAAGATAGTACACCCGGACCTTAAACCGTTTTACCACTTCGCTACTGAATTATCTGAACACAAGACAATTGCATGATAAAGAAAATGGGCATTAATCCCCTTATCGTCTTTCAATTTCAGTTTAGGAATACCAGGAACAAGGGGTCGAATATGTAACCGAACCTCAATGGGTCTGGACGGCTGTCGACTTCTCTGCTGTGGTCGTGGTTACCAAACTCGAGTGCGCGACGTCACGGAAAAGTGTAAATGCAGATTTGTATGGTGCTGTAGGGTGCAGTGCGAATTATGTCGGCACACGCGTGAGGAGCATGTCTGCAATTGAGCATTCCCTCTTCCTTCCCAAAAACACGAGAGGAATTCAACTTAACTTAATCTAGAGATTAATCTTTCTCTTAAATCCGACTGCAAGATGAAATACAGAAAAGAATAAAAGAAAATACGAAAAAAAAAGAGAGAAACGAAAGAGTGAGAGAGGCAAAATGTTGCATCGCTGTGTATGAAAGATATTTAATTAATTTCTAATTACCTAGATGGGAAAATTACGCTGATTAAATACGTAATTATGGGCGTGATTTTAATGTGTCAATGGTTGTCCTGTTTTTTAATTTATCTGTGGAGCCTCGGAGTTTGCTAAGTGAAAAAGATAATATCAATTCTGCCAATGAATGTACATAAACTCCTTTTTTATTACTTTATATTATTATAAAAAATACTAAACGTGTATATATTTATAGAGGGATTTTATTCTGAGTTGAAACGTGAATTGAATCCCCCAAATAGCCCTGCGTCCAAATGAATTAATTAAGTAAAAAAATGTGTCTAATAGGAAGTGTTCTATGTGGTGACTATTCTCTCCTTTATGACGATAGTTAGACAATAGATGGACGTTAATGATAGATAGACAGTAGTATTAAGAAATTTAGTATAGAGTTTAATTATTATTAAATGAAAAAATACGACGATATACAAAGCGCAGTATTGACAAATTGTAATTTATTTTCCTCACGATAATATATATATTATAAATATTATATATAGCTTTAGCTTTTTCTAATGTGTCAAATACTTTCTTAGGTGGTACTACCAGTAATTTGATCGACATAGCCCTAGGCTGAAACCTGTATTTTTAGGCTTAATATATTTGTATATGTATGGCCACGTATATATTAAGTGTATTTATAAAAACATAAATGAAACACCATTTGTCCATGTAACCATTGAGTATTTTCATTCAATAATATTTTTTATTTGTTTTTCAGTTAATGTTGATATTTTTACAGAACAACATCTTTCGATTATCCTTTTTCTTACTATTGCAGGCGAAACCACTCTCAATGATTTTCTTACGATTCATGTCGATTCGGTTCCACTCAAGTGTTTGAACGCGACAAATCAATTTCTCAGCTTTCATTCCCCTCTACGAAATAGGCTCTTTATGAAAAATTTTGTAAGTTTTTTAAATTTGAAGATCTTCATTAAGGATTTATTCTCAAATTTGACTCAACTAGTTTTACCATTTGGGTTCAGAATTGGGAATTGCCAAGCAAAATAGTTTTAAATTAGTAATTCCTGAATTCGGGAAAAAAGACTTTTGAGCCTAATAGATAATGCAGTTCTTCGCAAAAATAATTTTTTCGTAATTTATTCTCAGCTCCAGCGTATCCAAGACATTTCCCAAAAAATAGGCAGAATTGTTATTGGAGGATTTTTTGGATGGATGAATTCCCTCTGTAATCAGTGATGATAGGAAAAATTATCACGCAATCTTTTCCGTATAAAATTCTTTCCCTACAAAAAATTTTGTTTTACGTTCCCAAAAAAAAAACCCTTACAAACTCATTTCCACGATAATCACCATTTTACGCAGATTCCATTTTCTCTTTATTCCAAAATGGAATTGGTTTTTTCGGCTCTCAACTAAATGAATCCCCAATTCTTAATTGTAAACTTGATAAATCGCGATAGGTCAAATTAATATTAGAGATATAAATGTTCAAAAGTTTGCGGCTTCCCTACTCAATTAAATTCGCCGTTTAAATAGCATGGAACGCCCCATATGTCAGGTAAATTGTTCATTCAACAATAAAAAAAAACATGAATTTGAAAAAAAAATGTGCAAAATTTTTAATGAAAAAAATTGTCAAAGTTATAAGTATTATACATTTTTGTTCTACATGCAAAGAAATAAATGCTCCACTTGAGTTGGGTATAACAACAGAATAAAGTTTTTCATCTCTTAAATATGTTTGTTCATCTATTATACTTTCTTCCTTTGCTCCTGACACTCTTACTCTCTCGTCCCTGGTAGTACCAGGTGAGTGCTGTAGTAGCAGCAAATAGTGCCCCGCAAATAGTACCCAGTAGAATACCGATATAAAGTTGAATATCCTCGGCAAATGTTTTCACTGGTATTTTTCTGTCCACTGGGGAAAATTCAATGGAACTTTTTTCGTTTCTTGCTACATATCTCAGCCAGAAAACTGCTCTATCTGATGCTGGCATTGGTCTGTCTCTGATTGCCAAGGAAACACTGCGCGCATTCTCACGGTAAAGTGCACTCTCGTGAATTTCTACAAAGGTTTTCACCACTTTGTCAACGGAATAGTCGTCATTTAGGGAGATGGAGAAACCTAATTCAACGGCACGTTGGGCATTGCGTTTTTCGTGAGGATTTCTGGGGAAACAAATGATGGGAGTACCGTGGAAGCCGGATTCTAGGAGCTCAGTGTCGTCGCAGTGACTGAGAAAAACTCTTGCTCTGGGGTAGCCTGCAAATAAGAGAAGTGTTCAATGTATTTGTCACACAGTTTTTGTTTAAATAATTTATCTACTCTTAGAGTGCAAAAGACATCGGAAAATTACACAGAGATTGTGTGCGTATCTTCAAAACTAAAAGATTTAGAAGAAAATAAAAAGATTTTTATAGTCAAGAAATTTCATTCTTCACCTGGCAGTACTTATTCATGGCCATCATTCAACGTTTCGAGAATGAAAAAATTAGTCAGAGTAGGGGACGGTGGGGCAAAATGAAACACGGGACAAAATGAAACAGCAAGAAAATCTTGTGATCTAAGGGAGATAGGAGGATTTCCATGAAAACCTTTTTTGTAGAGAATTTTACAAGCTACAAAAAAGGTTCTCTTCAAAAATGTCCTATCTCCTTTAGATGACGAGATTTTCCCACTGTTTCATTTTGCCCCGTGTTTCATTTTGCCCCATGCTCCCCTATGTTTAAAACAGTACGTTGACAATGAAAGGTTTAGAAAGGGACTTTTTCAAAGGTCACGATGATTATCAAAAGGTCTTAATGAATTTTTATAATAAGGTTTTAATGAAATATTTATTAAATTCATTTATAGTTCCTTGAATCATATGATATGTCTCAATTTAGAATCACTGATGGTAAATATTGAAATAGGCATTTATGGTAATATTTTATATGTTCTTTATTTTTTTTTTAAGTAAATGAGAATAAAGTAATTGCCCTGATGAGGAGTGAGATTTACCCCTTGAGTAAATGGATTTTTTGTGTTAATTCATTGAGGACGTTAAAATAGCCGAGAACCGCAAGATTTGGCCGGGAGAAGGACAAATTTTGATATCAATGAATTTTTGTAATTTCATTCTTTTCAGAGTTGCTTGCAAAATAGATTGTAAAGATGATCCTTTTACAGTTGCAAAACAAAAAAGGAAAGATGACTAGAATAAAAATTGCATGCTGAATATTTAATGAATATCATGAAAACTAGTAGGTTTTAAAAAAAAATGTCAAGAGCAATATTTGGAAAAAAGATTTCAATTCCTATAGTTAAGAACTTTAGAAGTTTTTCGTTGAAATTTCTTATCACTACGATGATTCAAGAATTAACAATCGATGAGTTAAACATTCAAAAATGAAGTATTTAAAAATATTTGAAGAATAATGAGTTTTAGGAGAATACATCGAATGATATTTTATACCTCATACAATTTACCATAAAGTTTCTTGATGAATTTCTCCATTAGAGCTTATTCCTTTTAGACGTGTTAGCAAAGCAATTCGCGAATGTAGTTTTTTAGATGAAAGGGTTGATCACCCGAACAGAGTTGTAGATGTCAACACAATCCAGCACATTAATTGGTAAGAAAGGGTTCTAACGTACCTATAAGGTCTTGACGATCAACGTTTGAATGTACAAAGAGGTTTTCTGGTTTTCCCCCGGTGAATCTCACATTTTTGCTCTTCCAAGCAACAGCTTGACCCCGTCTGCCCTGAGGAAGTCTCTTTGCAATGCTTTTTATCAAGTCAGTGTGACTTTTGTCGAGGGAGACTACAATTGTCCCTAGTCTGAACTCCACCAGTTCCTTTTGGAGCTCTGAGGGCAGGGGTTGGACTCCTCTGCAATGGTGACAGCCGACCTAGAAGCAATTGAAACTAAAGCAATAATGACATTGCGTAGTAAAGTCGAACTTTACCATAATGTTTCATTCCCATTACCTTCCGTTTAGAATTTATTTCAGGTTTTAATTTTCAAAATTCAAGTTATTTATGCAGTACTTTAATTACCTCGACGAATCTCTGAGTTAAAGATGCAAAATCAGTTCTCAGAATGGGGTCGCCACCCCAAAGTAGCAATTCAACATTGGAATAAAGCTCATCCAATGTATCTCCAACGTTCGAGACGTATTTACCAGCAATTTTCAACCCTGGGTTCACGAAATTCGATTCAACTCGAGCGATGACCCTCTGGGTATTGACATTTGCCCAGAATCTCTCGTAGATACCTTCAGTGAAAATGGGGATTCCCATTTTTGTTTTTTGGACAGCGTAATGTTCCTCATTGATTCCCAGAGCCCAGACCACTGGGTTCGATGAGATAAATCGAGCCCAGGGGATGAGACAAGCATCGTGTCTTAGAATAAGAAAAAATTACGAGACAAGTAGGAAAACAAATCTTATATCAAGAGGTAAGAAAATTGATTTTAGTTGGCAGTCTGAGGGCGATGGACGGTTTTTTTATAAACGCATTTCTTTGTATACCAAAGGCACAGTTATATAGAAGATTTCTACTGAACAATTTTGATAGAAAAATACTCAAAATTAGAGAATTAAAAATACTTAAAGTTAGAGAATTCAAACTTTCATTCAACAATCAATGATCGCCTAATATGCAAAACTCAATTCTTTGGAAATCGCGAGATAAATGAGCAATTCAAATTTAGCAGTTTTTTAAATTTGAATAAATTTCTAACAAGGCAAGAAAGACAACAAAATTGTTGTCATAAAGCTTTCTGAGGCTTTCACTCTGCACAAAAGGGTTTTGGATAAATTCGAGATATCAAAAATGGTGAAAAGATTACAAAAAAAACCTCTGGAAAATTCGTAAATTATCTGAAAAACTCTCCAATTTTCCGATGCAGAATTTTCTAGAAGACTCAGGAATGTTGTAGAAATCTTTAGGCGAATTTCACGATTAATCCAGAATCTAATGCGTCGGAAAATTATGGAAGATTCTAGAAAGTTATAAAAACTCTAGACCGATACAGTAGATATCTGCGAGGGAATTTTTACATTAATTTTGAGCAATTTTTCCGTAAAATTACGTAAAAACTACTTTACGAATGTGGATTTTTATAGACGATTCAGGTAATTTTTGCCGTATCTTACATAAATTTTATCGAAATACATTTCGTTTCAATTTCTACCTTCGTTCATCGTGTAAATTATTGGTATTTCTAGAAAATTGTAGAAAGATGCAGAGTTGTACAAAATGTTCTGGTGAATTCAGTAATCGTCTAGAGAGCTCCCCACTTTTTCAAGCCTTACTTATTCTTTCTAGCATATTCGAAAACATTCTGAAGCTCCTTAAAAATTTATAAAAATTTATCAAACCTTCTCAATTGATTTGAGCGTTTACCTACACTGAAAGAAATATCGTCATAATATCACAAAACTAATTTCTTGCACTAAATATCTCATCTCTTGAGTATAAATTTCTTGGGATAAGAATTCTGGATAATGTGTCAAACAATATGAGATTTCGGTAAAGTGTTCATGAGTTGAACATGAACATTTCATGATAAAGTGAGAATTTCTTGCCAGCACGGATGAAAAAATTTAATTGAAAAACTTATCGAATTCGTAAGAAAATTCTATTGAACTGTTCTATCAGTTTTTGGCCGATTCTATTGAAATGTTCAATAGAAAATATTCAGTAGAAAAAGTCAATAGAATTCAATGTTTCTATATAACTTATTCCATTGAGATATTTTCTATAGAATTTCCTCGGCTCAAATTTTCAAGTTTTTTCGTTTGATTTTCTTGATGAGAAGAAAAGAAAAACAGAATGAAAAAAACTTAGAAAATTTGAGTCGAGCAAATTCTATAGAAAATATATGAAAAGAATAAATTATACAGAAAAATCGACTTCTGTTAACTTTTTCTATTGAGTTTTTTCTATTGAACATGTCAATAGAATCAGCCAAAAACTAATAGAAAATTTAATTGAAATTCAATATAATTTTCTAACGAATTCGATAGGTTTTTCTATTAAATTTTTTCGTGCGTGAGAAGAAATTGTTTTTTCTTGTGTCAGAAGATGAGAAAATGACTAAAAATATTAAAAGCTCCGATTCAGTGAATCATAAATCAGAGACTTTCATACTAAATGAATAGAGTTTATGCAGAAGAAAACCTCCAGATATTAAAAAAATATATCCGTCGCTTACACCCAATTGCTTAGAGTTTGAAGGGAAGCAATATCTTCTTTCCCTTAGTTTTGAGGCTTTCGCGGCCATGATTAATGAAATCTTTGGTTTCCGGATGGATGCCGCATTTGGGCGCAACGCTGAATCCAAACGCGGCATCCATCCGGAAGCCAAAGATTTCATCTTCTTTCCCTTCTTTCAAACGATTCTTGTCTTTTAAGGAATAAAAAAGAGAGGGGTATTATCTTATTTCGAAAAAAAGGCATCACCTTTTCATTCAGTAACTTCCTCCTTAGCCCGAAGACCACCGATTTCTTGTCTGAAACTTACCCTAAATTGGTCAAATATGCATGCGATGTTTTTCGCTCAAGAAATGATTTTTGTGATATCATCTCGATTTTTCTCTTAATGTACAAGACCTTTTCATCATCGATGTACTCTCTCGGTGCTTCGACAATATTTCAGAATATTCTAGAATTTGCTAGCAGTTATCGTCTAAATGTCGATTTCAGCATGAAAAAAGTTTCACCGTAAGGTGGGTCATTAAATCCATTAGTGATTACCTAATAGCCGGAAAAATCGTGAAAGTCGGTTGAATCTCCCCAACCCTTTTGAGGATCTTCTGATTCCCCAGGAGCGCCTCACAAGCCCTCAGCGCCTTCCTCTCGAGATTCCCATCATCCTCAGAGCTGACATTCAGTTTGATCACCTCAACCTCCACCAGATTCTCATAGATATCCCCAGCATCCGCGGTTACAATCAGCGTTGCATCGATCCCCTGATCGGTCAACGTATTAGCAAGTAGTGATAACTCATAAGCATTCTCGAACCCGACGACAAGAGCACTCTGAGGTGGTATAGTCAACGTGGAGGCACTGGAGAAGCCAAGGAAGGCAGCAACAAGCAACAAGTGAATCATCACTGATTGTCTCACTGCTTATCCCTTATATTATGTATCACCAAACAGAAAAAAACAATTAACACTGAACAATCAATTCGTGCGAAATTTTGGAGCATCGAACATCGTAAATTGATGAAAATCACTGCTCACGAGCACTAATTATAAAGAATGATCGTAGAACGTCTGGAGGGTGCACAACGTCTCCTGCCCCGCGGAGGCGTTTTGGGCATTTATTATCTTTCGCTTCTGACATTCGTGGGGGTCTCACAAATGGAGAAAGTCACCGGTGCCGGCTTGAGTGTGTTGGTTAGTTACCCGGGGATAAACATTCGAGTTTTTTTAATAATTGATGAGAACTGAAGACTAAACTGCTACGATTGGAGGGGAATTTAGGTCAGGGGGTGAAAAGTTCTTTTTTTTGTGGATTTTTATGGAGAGATTGAGGAGTATTTTTCAGATTTGATGTTTTAGCTGTTTTATATACTGTTTTCTGGACTATTGAAGGTTATAGGAAATTGTCGAAAAGGATTTTTATTCTTTCGACTGATGATAAATGGTCGTTATGGGACTGCTGATAAAGAAGGGAGCAGAAATCCAGTTATTGATGTGAGGCAGCACTGGGATGTTCTAACAATGTAAACAATGAGGAAGAAAATTACGATAGGCGAATGGTCACGTATGAAAAAATGCTATAGTATTTCCTATAGGAAATCCTATGGAGAATTCGAACATTTCGTATAGAATTTTTCTGATAGGATTTTCCACAGGACTTCCTATAGGATTCCCTAAGGGAGGTTGGGGTAAAACGGACAACGGACTTTTGGCTGTTTTTTTAATGTTAATGGGAGGTTGAAATATTGATGACATTTAATCATTTTTTTCAATACAAAGAACAATTCTTTCCCTTTGTGACGAGCCTAAACTGAGCTCAATTGATGAATTTGTTTCTTAGTTATGAATAATTTTTAAAAAGTCTAAAAGTGTCCATTTTACGCCACCTTCCCCTATAGAATTTCCTATCAGATTTATCACCCTAATCTTGTGACCGATTGGATTCGAGAATCAATTTTGTGTGTTACTTTCTATAGAAAAACCTACAGTGAATTCTTTAGGAAATCCCATAGGAAATCCCACCAGAAATGGATTTCATAATTGATGGAAAGTTTTCATTTCTGATTATCATCACAGGGAATGACAGTTCAATAACGATTATCCATTGTCATAGCAATGAAATTAATCATTAACCAAATAATGAAAATATTTCCATCTTTACTATTGGTTAGATGAATATTCGAATATATTTTGGAGTTCATTGTTGATTAGGTGAGTATTCAAAAATATTTCAGATTTCATTACTGATTAAATGACTATTTGAAAATATGGAAGTATAATTTCTCATTATTATCATAGTTGCAGAATTTTCGATCACTATTATGCATTGATAGAATAATGAAAATCTTGGCGGTCAATATGACCAATTGATATTACCAAATTTCTCTCCGTGTACGTTGAGAATGAAGAATGCAAGGAAGTTGGAAAATGGTTTTATAACTAGATCTGTGCTCTCCACAACAGTTATCAATTAGGATGTTGATAGACAATTTTTTTGTCCGCGAATCCCACATTATTCATTAGTCATTCTACTTCTATCAGAGAAGCTGTTCATGCCCTGACTTTTCGCGAGCTGAAAATTCGAACAGAAAATCCCAGTAGAAGATTGTAAAAAATGATACATAAACATTCATTATCCCTCTTAATAATTAGGATGATTGTTGTGAATCTATCGAATCAAAGTCGAGGTGTTTACACTAGTTGTCGTAACAGTTTGCAACATGATGATAATGCAGGTGAACAGGTAAAACCCTAATTCAAAAGTAAGGTAGGAAGAGTTATTATCATTTCAAAACATTGTCGTTGTCAAAACATTGAAAAGTTGTCAAATGGAAGTCATTGAATAAATTATTTTGCGGAGACCTTTTTAGATTTTGAAAGGTCCTTATGATAATTCCTCACGATCCTATTAAGGATAATCGGGCGAGGAGGAAACCTAGGAGGTGAGACGGAGGGGTTTCTATTGTTTTCCTGCAGAAAACCAATCGCTGAACAAAAAATTTTTTCCAATTCGGATTCAAAATTCAGGCAATATTAGGGAGTATCTCTGGTTAAAAATTATTTTTGGAGCTAATCAAATTTATCTGTTCCACGCATTGAATGGTTTTCAGATTGTTTTTTTTTAATAAATGAAAAAATATTAATCCATGAGAAAAAGTGGCAACATCGTCGGTAGTTTTTTTTTTCACCAGGAGCTGGTACCACTGGCTCGAGGAAGCTCCAATCACAACGCTTCATCGCTCTCTCTCAAGAGACGTTTAAATTGACCGCGTTACCCCCACCCGATCGGTACTTGGGACGTTGCTGCTCGTTTGGGCTGCGTGCGCAGAAATTTCATTTTCAATACTTTTTCGCTATTATTAATCAACAATGCTCCTAGGCGACAATGTTTTTCACTCAAAAAATCATTGATCACATGTTCTAAATGTGTCTAGTTTCATGACTTTGGCTGTATTTTTTCCTTGGATTTTGCAGTTTTTTTTGTAATTTTCATAAGATCACGGGTTAAATGACCGCTTTTTCAAAAATTCATAATAAATTAACCATGCTCCCCAGCAGTCTGAAACTTTGCATACGCCTTTTCCATCATTTAAAGAACACGTAAAAAAAAAAGAAAAAATGGCTGCTTTTTTTCCAACCCTTCGGGCTCGCCCGATTATCCTTAATGCTATATAGCTATTAAAAGAACCTCGATTCAAATCGGAGCAGAATAACGGAATTTGAGGAAGTAGTATGTCTCAATCTATAGCGCACCCTTATGCCATTCATCTTTACAAAATGTTTGAATATTTCAATACTTCTTTTTAAAGCACCAACTTGAAGCACATAAAGAACTAGAGGTTTATAAAATATCATCATTGGTTTTTTATCTCATATATGATGAAATCGCATTATTCCATGAACACCAATGTTGAATTCCGGAATTTACAAGTGAATTATTTTCTAAACGATTCTTCTTACACTGTCAGAAATTTTTTCAAATTTGAGTAATAAATGCAGTTGAATTCTCAATATTCTGAACTTGAATTCAATTTCGAACTAAATTGCTCAAGGAATTCCTGATTCATCGTGGAAATTCAATAAAATTAAGTTTTTCATGATGAATGATCATTGAATTTTCAAGGACAATTTGGATTTTCAAACCTATCGAGAAAATTACGCAATACATTCAATTGAATTTTCAACAAATTAAAAATTCAGAAGAAAAGTTGCCTGAATTTTCACGATCTTCAGTAATTTTCATTGTCGTATGAACCTGAGAAATCAAATTTCATTGAATATTCAAGAAAATTGACTGATTTATTAATAACAACATCAATGGAAGTTCCATGTAAATTATTCGTTGTTAAAAATTTCAAGACTTTCTACTTGAAATTTAAAGAGTAATTTTTTAACAGTGCATAACTCTGAGTTTTTGAGGTCCGTCCCAAGATTCAATACCTCTCAGTATGAAGATTTTTAATAATTTTCTCATCATTTTCGCTCTATTTTTCATACATTCTCCATTCTGGCGCAATTGAGAGAGTAAAATTACTCTGCAGAAACGAGAAAGAATGAGATGATATATCCCCTTAACGCATTAGGGGAAGGTGGGGTAAAATGGACACTTTTAACTTTTTTAAAAATATTCATAACTCAGAAACAGACTTGTCAATTGAGCTCAGTCTAAGCTTATCACAAAAGGGAATAATTGTTCTTTCAATTGTAAAAATAATATTCCATTTCATGAACAATTCAACACGTAATGAACACTTCAAGAAAAGTCAAAAGTGTCCATTTTACCCCACCCTCCCCTATATATCAGTTTAATCAGATTAACAATCGACATTATTACAGAATCCACAATGTTCGAGGTTCGCAACCACATTCGAATCCTTCTTCCCACTCGTTGATAACGAGTACTGGATAAAAGCGAGAAGAGAGCCCACATTCCAAGAAAATATCTCCCTTTCAATGTATCGTTACTACATGGCTCAACACTTATACGCCCGACTAGTGCAGATCCAAGCTGCGAAGGGTTCGGCTACTAACGACGAGCAGAAATTCGCTAATCATGTCCAATCAATAGCACCTTCGGTTCCTTATGGTGTCTTCACTTACTTGAACGCCATAGGTGACATAGAAGTAATGGAAACTAAAAACAATGAATCTCACCTTCAGCACTTCTTCGAATACTCTTTCATCGCATGGCCAAATGAAAGTGGTCATTTTGGATCTGTGGATGGCGATACACATTGGATGTACATGTCCTTTCCAGCTCCAATAATCGTCGCCACTGCAGTTCAGGCGGATCTAGCTATAGAAAATCACAAATCACTGTGGAAGTTAAGCTCCGATTACATCCCCGATTATGACCGTTATGCAGTTTTTCCAACTCCTAATTTGTTAGGCTGGAAACCAGCTACTGCTGTCACGACCGCCCAACGTCAAAAGCTTCACTTGTGTGGCATAACTAGAGACGGCTATGATATTGTCAATACGCAGTTCCAGTTCAATCCAAAACTTATGACTATTGTTCATTCGTATTTCAAAGCTTGCCCTCAAGCTAGTGTCAATATTAAGACATGGTACACGAATAAGAGACAAAATATTGGAACGATGGAGCAATTGGCCTGGTTGGAACGAGAAGTTGATCCTAATCCGTCAGTCAGCAAAACTTTTGCTTTCATAGAGAAAGATGTACTGGCAATGTTGCATCCACTCCAGACGAACACTAAATATTTGAGCAAACTTTCGCTTATTATGGGATTCCGAGTTAAGAAGTATGCGGTGCCGGGCGATTGGGCTGTTTTTGACTGGGGTACTAATGGGAGTATCCCTCAAAGTTGGACGCAAACGAGGAATGCAGTGTTTGAGTTTGGAGATATCGGTGAGATTAGTGGAACTGCAATTCCGTTCTCTTATGCGAGGGATGGAATAAGAACGGAGTTTCTTGAGAGATGTTACGAGGGACAACCCATGTATCAATGACTTATTGTAAGTGGGGCTAGAGATGTTTCCTTCTTTTGCTAGCGTATACTGAAAACACGTACGGAAGAAACCACGGCCAAGCCACGGATTTTCATGGTCATTTCATGGCTTTTGATCCTCATTTGGTGGGCATTTGCGACGTGTCTGTAGCCAAGGGGAGAGGGATAATATTGGATCCCCGATTTCATCCCTGAGAATTGGCCCCCATTTTGATCTTCAATAATAATTGGCCCTCAGCTTGACCCTTGTATTTGGACCTTTATATTTTGACCTTTACAGTATGACCCCTAGATTTTGAAGTTTAGATTTTGACCCTTAAATTTTGATCCTTATATTTTGACCCTTACATATTGACCGTTAGAGTTTGATCCTTAAACTTTGACTCTCATATTTTGACTCTTTTTTGGCCCTTGAATTTTAAGAGGGGACCCCGGTGAAATTTGAAAGTCTTCGGTGGATCTGGGGACTTATTGAACGACTTTAGTTATATGATGGGATATGTTAGAAAGTGTAAAAAAATCCCGGACAATCGGTTTTGCCCCGTACTTCCACGGAAAACGTCGTTTTTCATGTTTCTACCTTTAAAACGTTCCTCGTTCCCCAATTTTAATCCGATTAAATTTTTTTTTTCAAAATGTCCGTGAGACTCCCAAGAATAAAGTCAAGCTTTCGTTTTACGATCCATTATATAGATCATGAGAAAATCGAAAAAAAACCGAAAAAAAGGGTTTTCAGGATCGCAAAAAAGTTTTTAAGGATCGCAAGTTTCGCATTCCAAGAAGCCCAACTCTCTTACTACAAGAACCCCAGACTTCTTATTCCAAAAAATCGAGACTTCCAATTGTAAGGCCCCAAAGTCCATGATTTCAGAACCGAGATCGCCTTAGAATAAAAGAGAATGTGCTTTGATTTAAGTGCAATTTGATTTAAGTACAAATCAAATACTTTGATTTAAGTACAAATCACTCAAAATTAGAAACTTTTCTCCGATTCTCATAAAAAATAGCGTCTCTAAATATCGTCTCTAAGCCACCCTCACAGTCTAGACATTCAATAGTGGAACGCCTTGTGCATACATGCGGCATATACGTTACATATCGATTGGATATACGTGATTTAACAAAATAAAAAACCAAACTGTGACGTATTGAGATCGATCAATACGTCGATTTAGTTAGTAATTATATAATATAATATTATAATGCTGGATGGTGGGAACGAGAAATATGATTTCTCTTTCCTGTCATCCAGACACTGGTCAGCAATCCCACGGTGTTATTTGGACACCGTGGTAAGCAGTGCCACCGTTTTTCAGGAGTCCAGTTCAGAATGATGAACTGTTTGACTGTTGAGTCTCCGTCAGTGATGATACGAGACAGTGTTAGTGAAGAAAACCGTGAGACTGCTTAGCTCAGCAAACTGGGGCTTTGCCAAGTTTTGAGGACTCTGGAAGCACTAGAGTACGATCAGGAGCAGAGTCGCGCGACCGGGCCCNCATTTGCGACGTGTCTGTAGCCAAGGGGAGAGGGATAATATTGGATCCCCGATTTCATCCCTGAGAATTGGCCCCCATTTTGATCTTCAATAATAATTGGCCCTCAGCTTGACCCTTGTATTTGGACCTTTATATTTTGACCTTTACAGTATGACCCCTAGATTTTGAAGTTTAGATTTTGACCCTTAAATTTTGATCCTTATATTTTGACCCTTACATATTGACCGTTAGAGTTTGATCCTTAAACTTTGACTCTCATATTTTGACTCTTTTTTGGCCCTTGAATTTTAAGAGGGGACCCCGGTGAAATTTGAAAGTCTTCGGTGGATCTGGGGACTTATTGAACGACTTTAGTTATATGATGGGATATGTTAGAAAGTGTAAAAAAATCCCGGACAATCGGTTTTGCCCCGTACTTCCACGGAAAACGTCGTTTTTCATGTTTCTACCTTTAAAACGTTCCTCGTTCCCCAATTTTAATCCGATTAAATTTTTTTTTTCAAAATGTCCGTGAGACTCCCAAGAATAAAGTCAAGCTTTCGTTTTACGATCCATTATATAGATCATGAGAAAATCGAAAAAAAACCGAAAAAAAGGGTTTTCAGGATCGCAAAAAAGTTTTTAAGGATCGCAAGTTTCGCATTCCAAGAAGCCCAACTCTCTTACTACAAGAACCCCAGACTTCTTATTCCAAAAAATCGAGACTTCCAATTGTAAGGCCCCAAAGTCCATGATTTCAGAACCGAGATCGCCTTAGAATAAAAGAGAATGTGCTTTGATTTAAGTGCAATTTGATTTAAGTACAAATCAAATACTTTGATTTAAGTACAAATCACTCAAAATTAGAAACTTTTCTCCGATTCTCATAAAAAATAGCGTCTCTAAATATCGTCTCTAAGCCACCCTCACAGTCTAGACATTCAATAGTGGAACGCCTTGTGCATACATGCGGCATATACGTTACATATCGATTGGATATACGTGATTTAACAAAATAAAAAACCAAACTGTGACGTATTGAGATCGATCAATACGTCGATTTAGTTAGTAATTATATAATATAATATTATAATGCTGGATGGTGGGAACGAGAAATATGATTTCTCTTTCCTGTCATCCAGACACTGGTCAGCAATCCCACGGTGTTATTTGGACACCGTGGTAAGCAGTGCCACCGTTTTTCAGGAGTCCAGTTCAGAATGATGAACTGTTTGACTGTTGAGTCTCCGTCAGTGATGATACGAGACAGTGTTAGTGAAGAAAACCGTGAGACTGCTTAGCTCAGCAAACTGGGGCTTTGCCAAGTTTTGAGGACTCTGGAAGCACTAGAGTACGATCAGGAGCAGAGTCGCGCGACCGGGCCCCTAGCTCAGGCCTTCAGCCAAAATCGAGTCGAAGTCCCTAGTCGAGTCTCTTAATAACGCGTATACCAACCCATAAGTAAAACAGTCGTGTATTTTAAACCATCAATTAATATACCATACTTTTACCGATAAATACGCGAGTGTTTATTTAGAACATCACCAAGTAATATTCCTTCATACCTTTCCTAATATCCCTACGAATGAGCGAAACCCCTATGAGCTCACCGCCGAAGTTAGCTGAGGATTAAGTAACAATACAAAAGGATTACAGTGCAGGAATACGTGAAAAGGTGTAGTAAAAAGGAGATTCCTCCCACTGACAGTAATAGCTGGACGGAAAAGGAGTACCATTCACTGAGTTTTACCTCCGGGTAAAACTCAAAACGTCACATAACACATTCGCTAAAAAATCCTATGAGTTCTTTATGGAGATTCCATTCAAATTCTATCGAAATTAAAGTTTGTGTTCATTTTTATAATTACAAATTACGTGGAAGGTCCTCGTATATTGGAGAAATACATAACACCTTTCATTAAATTTTCAAGCATACGACATTTCGCTAAAGGTCAAAACCAACGATTATAAATCTTCCGTTCGGAACCAAAAATGATTTCACTTTGAGAAAATATTGTGCAATAATCCTCCACTAGCAAACCTATTCTAACGACCTGTCCACTTTTTATTCTCTCGTTTCGTTCGAAATTCTCTCTAAACACTGAAAGATACCTATTCACAACTTTATCGCTGTATAGAGCCACATAAAATTTTTGCAAAATATTGATCAAATGTCCCCCAAACCACGTTTCAAAAAAATTAAGCGCGAAGTTACTTTCACCTATGTCCACAGAAGCGCTGAGATCATAACGGCTCTGTTGTTGACAAACGTCCAGATCACGGGGCGCAGAATCTAAAAAATTAACTCAAAAAATTCATATAATTACCCTTGGTCCCTCCTTTTTGTAACTATTCCAAACAATTCGTAACAATTGTTGAGAAGAAACCGTCAAATACGTAATGGTTACACTCGTCAACTGTCTTTGAGGTTAATGCTAACGGTAAACCCAGAAAAAATGAGCTTCTTTTGGAATAGACAGACCATAACGAGCACTCCATCGGGAAATTCTCCAGGTATCTACCATTCTCACCTCCTCCAGGACCATTGGAGATTCTCAAAAAATGTTCTAACAATGTTTTCCACTTTCATTTCATATTTCGTTCCTCTAACAGACAAAACCACTAGAGAAGCCAGCAAAACCGGACCAAAGATATTTTCCTTTGGAGAGACACAAACCAAATCGCCTCGGTCTCAATCTGAAAGATCTGTTCGAAAAGCAGCTAGACCTTCGCTGGGTACCATTAGATCTTCGTCTAATGGGTCTACCCCAGGAAATTCCCCAGGTAATGCAATAGTCCAAAATCACCTCACCTGTCTTCGAGTAATTCCAAAAAGTCGTTTGAAATGATCAACAAACCCTATAAAACAATTATTCAAGAATTATCTTGAATTTACGGTATTTTAATGCTTTTTCTGAGTTGAAATTTCTTAAAAATTAGAGGAGAATGGAGTTGGTTTTAGAGGAATATTTCTAAATTCAATCCAAGAACTGATAAACATAAGAATAATTCAGCACTAATTCTGGAAAAATTTTCTTAATGATAATGTAATAAATAAGCTTTTTAAATTACCAGTTTTTTTCCAAATTTCAAAAAAAAAATTCCAGGTCGAGACTGTAGTGATCATTCAGCTGCACATCTCAAGACGTTCAATTGTAATAAAAAGAAGAATGAGTAGAAAAATACCTGGATTCCGTTCTGTTTGTTTTGCATAAGGTTCATAATCACTTGAGAAAAAAGATTGTGGAACTTTGTTATTAGATAATTATGTTAATTTACTCTTTTGAAAGATCCTCGTAAAGTGCCAAAATATTTTTGTCATAAACATGTGTTATGGGTATTCGAGAATGAGAGACAACGTTAATCAAACTGTCCAAGATGTTGTTGGACATCTTGGATTATTTGAGCTCCTTCAAGCATTGGCATAACCAATGTTTAATGATATTATGAACGAAAAAGTATGAATCATTCACCTGGCATACAAAGTGCCGTATCTTGTCTAAGGAATTTCATTTTAAAAACAGGAAAAATAAAGTTTTCACTACAGTCTCACAAACAAGACCAATAATCCAATAAATGTTGCTATTATCCCTCCAACATCCCATTATCTTTAACCAGAAATGTCCCATCTCTTGTTCTCCATCACTCTTAAAAAATCATCAATCAACCCTCAAATAATTCCGTAAATAATTCGATGGCTTTTCCAAATTCAGGTGCAAAGACCACATCGCCCTCAGCTTCAACAGGTTACGATTTCTTCGCTCAGTCAAAACCTTCGTTCTTCTTCGGCCCAACTTCAACAACAACTACAGCCGCTACAGGCTCCACTGCAGGGGAAAATGCACCTCCATCTTCTGGAATTATTTTTGGACAACCCGCCTCAACATCTACAACTACTTCAGCATCCACAGGATTTTGTGGGAGTCCATCCACTGGATTAAATCTGAAAGACCCCGTAACTACTTCAGCGTCAGTAGGTGTGATTTTCGGCATTCCAACAAGTAAATTCGCTGGATTCAATTTCAAGATCTCTCCAGCCACTTCAGCAACCGCAGGACTTTTTGGAACTTTAACAAGCCAATCTACTGGATTTAGTCTGAATAACCCTGCAGCTACTTCAGTGTCCACAGAAGAGATTTTTGGAACTCCAGCAAACCCATCCACGGGATTTAATCTGAATGGCCCTTTGGCTACTCCAGTGTCTACTGGATCTTGTGAAAATTCCGCGAACCCATCCACTGAATTAAATTGGAAAATCCGTATCCCTACTCCAGTGTCTACATGTGCCGTTTTTGAAACTTCAACAAGTCAATCCACTGGATTTAGTCTGAATGACCCTTTAGCGACTCCATTGTCCACAGGATTTTTTGGAACTCCAGAAAGCCAACCTACTAGCTTCAATCTGAAGAACCCTCAAACGACTTCTGCAGCCACTGAATCGACTCTGGAATCTCCAGCATCAAGTGCAGCACCTGAATTTGTAGCTGAAGTGTTGAAGTTGATCCTCGAAAGGAAAATGGGTATTTCTACTCTTCCTCTTCCGGTGAAAAGCGTTGGTACACTTCAAGTGTCTCTGGGCACATTTACACTCAACGTAACTTCAACAGCCTCAGTATTTGCCGGGAATAAAACCTCATCTTCTGAAATCGGGTTGGGTCAAACGATTTTCCCACCAGCCGTACCGTTCACTGGACCTTTTGGAACTCTAACAACAAATTCCTCCACTGGGTTCAATTTCATGGGCATCACAGGCTCTGCTGCATCCACAGGTACTTCAGAGATCACAGGAGCATCACCTGGAACTTCAGCGACAAGTGCAGCCCCGTGGAACCCGACATTGATATCGTTTTCTTTCACTCCTATACCTCATACTACATCCTCGACAAGATTTACTTTCTTCGAGGCTTCTATGACCAACAGCGCTGAATCAGGCTTTGGAAGCCCGTCCAGCAGATTACCCGAAGGTCTGTCTTTGAGGAACACCACTGCTCCTACTAGTAATGTTGCGGTGACAAACACCAGTGCAACTCAGGCATCTTTGGGAAGTATTACAACGGCGACTAATTCATCCCTGGACGATAAGCTCAACGATATTCACATCAGTAATTCCGAAAGTGATTCTGATCAGAAGAGCAAGGTCTTGAAGGACCCAAAATCTCGGAAGTTCACCACCACCTTCGAGTGTTTCTTCCCACTCGTCGACAACGACTACTGGATCAATGCGACCCGTGAACCGAAATTTCAAGAAAATGTATCCCTCTCCATGTACCGTTACTACATGACACAGCACCTCTACGCCCGCTTGGTGCAGATCCGAGCTGCCAAGGGTTTGGCCACTAACGATGAGATTAACTTCGCAAGCCATGTCCAGTCAGTTGCCCCCTCAGTCCCCCTCGGTATCTTCACCTACTTGAAGACAATTGGTGACATAGAAGTCATGGAGAAGGGAGATCACACCTCCATGTTCACTCGACACTTCTTCGAGTACTGCTTTCTCACTTGGCCGAATAACAAAGGTCACTTTGGGCAGTTGTGTCACGACAATCATTGGAAGTACATGTCCTTCCCAGCCCCAGCAATCGTTACCCAAGCCATCGAAAAAGATCTGGAGATGGATGAGTTGAACCCTCAATCGATCTGGGACCTGAGGGATGATCTTAAGCCATCATTGTCTCGCAACATCAGACCAACTGCTAATTTACTGGGGTGGAAACCGGCAACAGTTTTGACAATCCCTCAACGTCAGAAGCTTCAGCTTTGTGGAATCTTCCAGAATAGTTTCGACGTTATTAACTCACAGTTTCAATTCAACCCGAAAATCATGACTATTACTCATGATTACGTCAAGAGTTCCATGTCTCCTCATGCTATCGTCAATGTGGAGGCATATTATGAGAATAAACCACTGAATTTGGGGGGGATTGAGCAACTTGCCTGGCTGAAGAGACCGGATGAAGAAAAGAGTATTCCCTACAGCAAGACTTTTGCATCTGTCGAGAGGAATGTCGAGGGGATGCTGCATCCTCTCCAGAGCTCGTATTCTAGCGAGTTGTCACTCATCATGGGGTTCAGGGTTGATAAGAGCAAGGGGGGTGATGATTGGGTTGTTTATGAGTCAGGAAATTATTTGAAGATTCCCTGGGAGTGGATAGCGACGAGGAATCAGGTGTTCCAGTTCGGTGATATTGGAAGGGTTCAGGGAAGAGCAATTCCTTTTTCTTCTAGGAGAGATGCAGTTAGACATGAGTTTCTGGTGAAGTGTTACCGAGGCGTGCGTATGCACGAATAAGATATTAATGTTGCGAGAGAAAAAAAAGTTGGGATGATTTTACATGATGTTACTATGGTTTTATCATCTTTCGTATTTTTATAACAATAAATGACTAATATTTTGGTGTTTCATTTGATTACGATGTAATATGAGCAGATCCAGGCCAAAAAAGTCGATGCTGGGGATTTTTGTCTCATTTTTTTCTGCAAAGATGACAATTAGACAAAAATTTGGAAGAAAGAAGAATTAAAAAATATTGATAATTGATGGAGTTCTCATTTTTGAAAAATGGAAAGTTTTTGCGAACTTTTTTTTCCCAAATGGGCCTCTATGTTTCTGCGGAGTTTCAAGTTATCAAAGCGCGCTTTGGCACACTCAAAGAGCCTGAAAAACGCGCTATCTTCAGTTTGACGGGGTTTATACGACAATAGTATATTTCAGCACATGTGGGGCAATATTGTCTTTAACGTGTGTGGGGTGTACAGTATGAGCCGAAGGCGAGTGATGTAACCACACACGTTAAGGACGAAATTTACCAACAGGTACTGAACAAAATTCTATGTCACGAAGCCTGAAACCGGCTGAATTAGACACGAGACGCGAAGCGTCGAGGTTTGGTGTGGTTTGGCGTGGATCTGCTCATATTGGTGTTGTTATTGTTGTCTTCACACATCCAAATTTGTTCCCTGAAACCTCCTAGGATTTAAAGCAAAGTTAATGTTTGGGGACAAACATGATTGATTGGGGGTATGATTTTTATTGACCCAATTTAAGGATGTTCGACACCCTTTTAGCCAAAATTGACGTTGTTTTCATTTTTCTGGCAAATTATCGATGGGAGTGACGTGAAAAAATATAACGATTTTGTGGTTTGGTACGATACTTATTATAGCCTTGGGGTATTTGAGACCCCAAGGTCCCCACTCGCGAGTTGGCATGGAATGCCGCACATACAGATGAATAAATGGTTGTATTAAAAAACTCAATTTTTTGATAACTCAGCTCATGTTGAGTCATCTCCACACAACATTCCGAAGTTGAAAAACTTAGGAAACGATTCCAATGCTTCCCTCCGGCAGTGAAAATCTTGATGGATTTTGTAATTAATGTTGTGCACCTAATTTATTTTTCATTACATTGTTTTTTCTAAAAACAATTTTCATTACACTATTTTATCTCAATTCATTTTTTATTACATTTTTTTTCTAAATTCATTTTTCATTAAATCGCTTTCAATTATGGCCGTTCCATTCTCATAAATACCGGGGTTACTCGCCGTCTGGGCTTAACTCCTGGAGCTCCTGGAACTCCTGGAGCTGTGCTATTATTTACAATCAACTATTACACCGTACGAGAGACAATAAGTAACTAAAATTCATAAACATGGTGATTGCAAAGAAATTCGTGCTAGCGAAGCATTTTGAAGGTCATCCTAAGCCGAGTGATGTGAGGATTGAGACAGAAACGTTGCCGGCTATTCAGGATGGAGGTAATATATACGAAAACATTTGATAGAAAAACCTAGCGAATTCGCTTCCAAATTCTATTGGATTTCTCTTAAACTTCTGTTAGTATTTGGCTGATTCTATTGAAAAATTCTGTAGTTCATTCACGCTTTTTTAAATAGGAATGTTCAATGGCGAATCTTCTATAAATAAAAATCATTAGAAATAGTTTTTTTTGTGCAACTCAAATTTCGTCAATTATTTTCATTGTTTTTATTTAATGGAAAGAAAAGAAACGTAGAACTGAAAACGCTTACACAATTTACGTCGAGGAAATCACATAGAAATTTATGTGAAAATAAGCGTCTTGCGTGCGAGCCGGAAACTCGGGTGGCAATTCCGCACGTGGACACGACTCCTTTATTTTACCTCCGTAGGTTAGAAATATTTTATTTAGTTTCTCTAAAATTCTCCAAATATCAATTTTGATTTTTTTAGTCTTTTCCGACTATTCAAGAATAACTTTTTCGTCAGGGGTTTTTAATTTTCAAGTTTTCTATACATTTTTCCCGTAAATGAAATGTCGATTTTTATTATATCCATTGCCGGAAGCTGTTCACATACATTTTCAGCACGTAACGGAGGGCGCCTAGTAGCTTTGTTGAACTCGAAAAATAGACCTGTTATCGACATCTAATAAAACAAGGGCATTTCAACTTCCTTTTTAAAACAAGGACATCTCCAAATTCGCTTTGAGGCTAATGTATCTCAAAATTCATGTGAAAGCTTGTTGTTCACTGCCATTTCTAAGTCTCATGGAGCTCGCAAATCATTTTATTTCTCTTCCAATGTGAACTGCTCCATGTTATTTGTACTTTTTAATGCATTCATACCATTTATACGGCTGATTAAAGAAGGGAAACGTGAGATTTCAGACGATTTTTCTAGTCTTGACATGAATTTTGAGATACCCTCGTTTTAAAAATAAAATTGAAATACCCTTGTTTTTATAAAGAAACGTCGTTATTGGGACCGCTAATTACCGATAGCGGCGCTCGTTTTCACCCATATGGACGATTTTAGGTTTCCCATATACACGCTAACACAAGCCCAAATTGGGTTCTATCCACGGAGAGAAATATTCCAGAAAAATTACGGAAAATTTCACGTAATCCGCAAGCGAGAGTCGTTTTCAGTGAATTTCTGTACGAATATAAGAGAATAAATGTGAAACGTTCAGTAAATTTTCGGGTCTGTCACCGAGAAAATACGAAAAAGTCACGTAATTTTTCTGGAAGTTGTAAAATCTAATAGAAACTTCAAAACTTATTATGCCTCCGAACATGAAAATTCTTGGATGTTTAAGAATTTTTACGAAAAGTTCCGGAAAAATTATGGAACGTGTTGTTAAAATCTCCCCCTCACGGTGACTCATGGCTAGCCGTGAGGCGTCGGACGTATGAGTAATTTTTACGGAACAGATCGTAGAATTTACACTTTTTATTGAATTTTACTTCGCTCCCAGATTACATTTCGAAACGTAATTTTTACGTCTTTTTTCTGGTAATTTTTATTGAATATCTCTCCGTGTACTGTCTGTATGCAGCCCAATATCCGCCATTCATAAGGTGGCGTTTTGATATTTAGCAGTTCCAACATGCACCATTTTGCAACGTTCTATCCATTTCTGATAATTTGAATTCTTCAAATTATAGAATTTCTTGCCCAGGCAGAATATCTGTCTGTGGATCCTATGGCTCGTGTCTTCTCAGCGACATACCTCATAGGAACAACGCTACTTGCATGGCAGGTGGCTAAAATCATTGAATCTAAAAATTCACGCTTCCCAGTGGGAAAGCGAATTGCTGGTATCCTGGGCTGGAGAACTCATACAATCGTGAACATGAAGAACATCACGGGAAGAAATATTATGGATCAACCTCCATATCTTCTTCCCGAAGAAGATATGGTAGGCCTGCCGCCATCCCTGGCAGTTGGTATGCTGGGCATGCCAGGGTAATTACAATATATCTAAATACCGAATTGACTAATCAGAATGGAAGTAAAGATGAGCAGAATGAGTGGAGATAATGTTTTCCATGTGAATTCTCAGGAACATGGCCTACTTTGGCCTCTTAGAAATCTGTAAACCGAAGGCAAATGAGGTCCTAGTGGTGACAGCAGCAGGCGGATCTGTAGGCTCCCACGTGGGTCAAATTGGGAAGATCATGGGATTAAAAGTCATTGGAATCACTGGTTCTAATAAAAAATGCCGCTGGATTACCGAGGAACTAGGTTTTGATCATGCTATCAATTACAAGAGACAAAATGTGGCAGCTGAACTGAAGAAATTCGCTCCCGAGGGCGTTGATTGCTACTTCGATAACGTGAGAATCTATTTTAGATAATCCTAGCGTTCACATTTAGATTGTTCATGAGATAGCTTTAAAATTATTTGGTTCAGAGGAAGATGTTTAACGCCTTTTCTCTCTGAAGCCATGATTCGCCGAAATAATATCATTTCATTCATGAAATATTTCACTCTCATCGTAGGAAAATCCAGTCTTAAAATTTCCGACAATGCTTTTTTGAGATTTATCAAGTTGTAGAGATCCCACGTATCAATTCATGGTGCTTCGTAATATTGATTCAATTCATGGTACGTACGTAATATTGTACAGCTGAAAATTCTTCGTTCTAATTAAAAATGTTCGGAAAACCGTGAAAAAAACATAATTTTTAATCGGAAATTTTGTGAATTTCATACATGATGATCATCTTTTCTCGTCACCCCAACTTCCCTGAAGTTGAGGTAATGGAGAAAGATTACTATCATTTTTGCTTATTCAGAAAATTTTCGATCCAAAACTATATTTGGAATTATTTGAGGTATTCTCGAATATGTTCCATTAGAACAAAGAATTTAGAGCCAAAAATGTTTAATCACGCGGAGCGTCATTAATTGACCTGTGGGATCTCTGCTGAGAAATATTTTTTATAGATAAGTATTCGAGAGGAACAAAAAAAATTTGTAGAAAATTTTGAGGCCGGATTTCCCTACGATATTTGCGAAATGGCCCATCTACAGGGAGAAAAAACTTCCGGAAAAATTACCTGATACAACGTAAAAGTGAAGCGAAATACTCTTTCAGGAATTTCTACTTATAAACCCTGAAATAATCTCACACGAGGAATAAATTTTCCCTCTTGAGTTCTGGAAGTTTTATGGATCGAAACGTAATTTTTTTGTGTTCAAGCCTAATTTTTACGTGAAACTCCATACAAATTCGTGTGGAGAACATTAATTCTGCAAATCTGTAAAAATAAATCACAATCACGTCAAACAACGTAATTTTGACGTGATTTCTATGATACTTGTTCCAAAACAGTTCTCTTCGTGTGCATTACCTTTTTCCTTCAACAGGTGGGAGGAGAGATCTCCAGCACGGTTCTCAGTCAAATGAACACTTGTGGTCGCGTCGCAGCCTGTGGATACATTTCTGCTTATAACAGTGACCCATCTTCATTACCAAAAGCAACAATTATTCAACCTGCCGTAATTTTCAATCAACTGAAGATCGAGGGAATGGTCTTTAGCCAGTGGATGCACCGCTGGTTCGAAGGAATTTATCAGAATGCCAAATGGATAAAAGAGGGAAAGCTCAAGTACAGGGAGACTATCACTTATGGATTCGAAAATATGTTCCATGCTTTCAACGGACTGTTGAAAGGAAAAAATGTGGGAAAAGCTATTGTTAAAGTTTGAGAAAACTTCCTAAATCGAATCAATAAATTGTTCATCATTTATGTATATTCATTTTTTGAAAATGAATAAATATTTCCAAGTAAACATTTTATCGATAAGATTAATTCTGTTGGAATATTCGAGCACAACTCTCTGATTGTTGTACAAAAACTACTCGACAAAGATTTATGACATACTGGGAAAACAGTTCTAGAAAAGGACTAAGTTACGATCGGTTGTCCTCCGCAGTCGAGAGTGGTTTAATCCTAAACATGTGCCGAAATTTGAAGAAGGACTGTGTCCTCTTGAGGCATAAAAGTTTATGATTTTATTTTTCGTTTTCCCAGTGAGAGTTTTCCCTTGGTTATACTAGTTAATCTCTGGATAACTGTCCTCTAGTACAGACGTGCCTTCCTCGTGTAAAATAAAGAGAATTTGATAAAGTATTTCACTGGTTTCCCGTATTTATTCATTCGCTTGCACCCATATTCCAATAAATTCCACCCGAGATTCTTTCAAAATGTGAAAGTAATCAATTTATACATGAACCCAAACCCACTTGCAGATTATATCGTACATATCTCTAAAACTAATAGATGCTGTATGCGTACCAAATAATTATTTCTGTAGATTATTTCATCGCGAGACGCATCAGTCACTATAACAAAACGAGTCTCATTTTCTGAAATTTAGATCATTCAGAATGGCCTCAGAGCCTGGCGTACCTGAGTCGCATGCGACTTACCGAAATCGAACGCACGATTTTCAATTGAAAGCCCGAGTTGAAAACCCGAGTTTGTAGCAAAGATGTCAGACAAGATATAAATGTTTTTTTGGGCTCAAATGAAAGAGCGGGTCGAGAAATGGCGTGCTAGGGCCTCTAAAGATGGTTTTGAACCAGGGGAGACTCCTAGACCCCATTGTGCTCCTAGACAGTGATGTCACAACTCTGCTTTTCAATTGAAAACAGACATCATCTTTAGAGACATTTGTCATGTTTAGAGGCTCTAGCACGTCATTTCTCGACCCGCTCTTTCATTTGAGCCCAAAAAAACATTCATATCTTGTCTGACATCGCTGCTACAAACTCGGGTCTTCAACTCGGGCTTTCAATTCAAGGCCCGTATTTCATAACGAGTGCAAAAAAGTGTTTTTTGGCGAGTGATATAATCCCACGAGCTAAAAAACATTTTTTCACGAGTTACGAACAATATTTTTCATCACAATGTGGCGGAAACTTCCTCGTTTTCATCGTATCACCTTCCTGGAATGACGAAGATAACGGAATGTATACGATGGTCACCTTAAAAAAAGGAAAGCGATAAGGTGTTTAATCTCTTTGACATCAGTCTAGGTAGTGGTCAGTTCTACGCTTGGTCTGCTGCAAGGTTTACGAATACCCAGAGGCCATGAGAAAGTAAGCATCAGTCTTCATTTTGCTTCGCTGGTTCGTAGATCAAGTCTCTCCGTGATAAACGCTCCGTTTTTCGGGAATCTATCAATTCAGAGGATGTAAATATTTTCTTGAGAATATTGTATGGTGGTGACTTATTCTCGTTTATTTATTAATTTTTAATTTGGCGATAAGTTGCAACCTTTACATGCTTCTCCGATAACAACTATCAACTTTTGAAAATGGAAAAGTGATATCGGCATTGGTGAATAGCATTCTCACTCACTATATAATCATCTTTTTTGTTCTCTAGGTCTTCCAAGATAAGCGTTGAACAAGTGGCAGGACCTTTCGATCTTGGCGAAGGCCCCCACTGGGACGACGAAAAAAAGATTCTCTACTTTACTGATCTTCATGAACGCAAGTTTGTCGCTTTGGATCCTGCTACAAAAGATTTCACCGATACATATCTGAGTATAAATTTTTTACGTCCATCGCAATTCTATTCGTTTCATTTCGTACAAGACTTGCTCCCGATTCATCAGAATCATGAAGGAATATATCGATAGTTATGCGATAGTTATTCATCGGCGGTATTGAGTAGAAGAATCCGATATACTCATCTTTATACCTCCTTTGACTGTGTACACGGAGAGTAATATTCAATACAAATTACGGAACAATTCACGTAATCCGCAAACCAGAATCGTTTTTAATCAATTTCTATAGGAATTGAGAATAAATCTGCAACGTTGTGTAAATTCTCAGGTCTGTCACCGAAAAAATACGAGAAACTCTCGTAATTTTTCTGGAAGTTGTAAGATCTAACAGAAATTTCAATAATAATACAATAATACATTAATAAGTCGATCTTGCTAAGCGCGCGGTCCTTTTCTAATACATGAAAATCGAAATCTGTCGACTACTTCAATCTAAATCGACATAGGACCAATGAAATTCTCGAAGAATGGGTCAGCAACTTTTTGTTACTTGACAAGCCATTAAAGTATGAAATCCATTAATTCTTCCAGAGAATGGGGCTGTGGGAGTGGCTGTGCCCGTAGCCGGCAAGAAAAACACATTTGTAGGTGTAAGTGGTACCGATCTTGTTGAGCTCCAATGGGACCCATTAACGCGCAACCCTGAACCTGAGATTAAAGTTCTGTCAACGGTGGACGTGGATCGCCCCCACAACAGATTTAATGACGGAAAAGTTGACCCAGCAGGGCGGTTTTGGGCGGGAACAATGTCTGAGAAAGACGGCCTGATCACCGATAATCAGGGAGCCCTCTACAGATTCGAGAAGAATGGCACGCCAGTCAAAGTTCTCGATAATGTGACCATCAGCAATGGCCTCTGCTGGAGTAATGATAACCAGACCTTCTATTACATCGATTCACCAACCTTCGAAGTTGTTGCTTACGATTACGATATAGACACTGGAGATATCTGTGAGTCGATAAAAATTTGATCAAGTCAAGAGTGTTGTCTCCTCCTATTATCTACCTCATGGCTGATAACTCTTTTATTATTGTTGAACGCGAAAAACATTTAATCATTTATTTTCAGCCAACAAGAGGGTTGTCTTCAACTTGAAGGAATATAATATCCCTGGAATACCCGATGGTATGACAATCGACAATGATGGGCATCTCTGGGTGGCAGTTTGCGACGGTAGCCGGGTATTTATCGAATGATGTGTCATATGTCGTCTACATTCTTTTCTGTGATAGGGTCAGCTACCCAGTAGATGGACACTGCCCTATAGATGGACGAGCTACTTCTGGATAGGAATTTACGCAAAAAAATACTGAAATGTGAATTGTTGCTTTGAATTTTCACTAACTGTTGTGATTCTTAACCCCTGAGTGACGATTTTTTTCNGGTGGCAGTTTGCGACGGTAGCCGGGTATTTATCGAATGATGTGTCATATGTCGTCTACATTCTTTTCTGTGATAGGGTCAGCTACCCAGTAGATGGACACTGCCCTATAGATGGACGAGCTACTTCTGGATAGGAATTTACGCAAAAAAATACTGAAATGTGAATTGTTGCTTTGAATTTTCACTAACTGTTGTGATTCTTAACCCCTGAGTGACGATTTTTTTCCAATCAATTTTTTTTTTCAATTGCTGAAAAACAAACGTCCATCTACTGGGCAATTTTCTTAGGCGTCCATCTACTTGGCAGTTTACCCTACACGGAAAACTCGGGAATGTATTAAAATGAGATCTTCACTGTTATTCAGATCAGAGTGATCGCTAGGATCTAAAAAAACTGAAAACTTCCTGAGGATTTTCAGAACTTTTTGGATAATTCACATGTCAAGTTTATGAAAATCTTGGAGTTTTTGGTCTCGAAAATTTTGGACGTTCAGGAATTCATAACATTTTTTTCATCAATACCATTGACGAGAATACAAAATTTTGTTCATGTCAATTGTTTTACGAAATTTTCAGATTCTCGAGATCGATCCAGAGAGCAAGAAGCTCCTGCGGACAGTGACAATGCCAGCTTCGAGAATCACAAGTGTTGTTTTCGGTGGACCTAACTATGACATTCTTTACGTCACATCAGCAAGGCATGGTCTGTCTACTGCTGATTTGGAGAAGCAACCCGCGGCTGGATATGTTTTCGCCATTCATGGTCTGGGAGCAGTAGGCACCAAGTCTCTCAATGCTAAGATGTAAAAGTTTATGTTTTTGTTGCAATTATGATGTATGATTATTCATGAAGAGATGAAGGAAAAAATAAAAAAAAAGCGAGGATTCCCTTATTATGCGACCACTTAAGGGTTAATGACGATATAAACCCCACGAAAGGAGGTGTTACAATTCGGAGCTACATGTTCACCTGTGAGACAACTAAAAGAAAATTGAAAAAATTACTGAAAATTCGATTGTTGTCCCCCAAAAGGCACAATTAAAATCATTCCCGCGGCAAAGTTAGTTGTCACGGGCACCACAACAGCGCTGTAGTCGAAACGTGCGTGTGACAAACGTCGGAAACGCGCGACGCAAAATCCAAAAAAATAGCTCACGAATTCGCAAATCAACATTTATTAATTAGCCTTGTGTTGGTGAGTATTATCATAATACCTGCCACATCTTCATCTCCAGAAAAAATCGCAATATAATCGTGGATTCAGTGATGATCAGACTGATCAAGTTTTTTTGAGGTTACGCCACCGGTAAACAAAAATGAATTTCTTCAACCCCGCGACGACCCAAGCAGCCACTCCAGGGGCAACTACCACAGGTAAAACCACTAGTTTTTCACGAGATTTTACAGTGTCTTCAAGGGAAAAAGACATGGGATTTCCAAATTTTGACTGATCCTCAGGTGTAACAGCAGGAATGACTGGAGGTGGTGATGCCAGCAAAACTCTCCCCACTGCGTTCTCCTTACCAGGAACACAGCCCCAGGCAAATCCGGGGGGATTTATCGAGGGGTGTTTTCCTGGGGGATTTCTCGGTGGTGGATTGACGAGTACACCAGCTTTAAACTTCAGAGCAACTCCAGCAGCCGCTACAGCTACTCCAGCTGCTCCAGCAGCAACTCCTGGCTTCAATTTTGGTGGCACATCGACTCCAAATACTGGACTGTCTTTTGGTGAGTTGATATAATTGAATGATCATGAATAAGTCTTGAAATCCGATCTCATGTCATCCATGACGTTCCAATGATTTTTATAGGACTATGAATTTATCACGAGGAAAATGCAATTAGATTCATAGTTTAAGTTGAGGAGAAAACTGACAGCGAACAACAAACAGTGCTTTACGAAAAGAGAAAAGAGGCAAATCTAATTTATTTCAACTCATTAGAATGCTATTGAATGTATCAATCTTATGCAATTTAGCTAGTCTCCCTCTAGAAATTTTCAACTGGTCTATTCTCTATCCTTTACCTACGTCATTATTTCGATGATTACTCGATTAGAAAAAGAATTGAAATTTCATAGATAGTTTGGTAGTTATTTTCAGAAGAGGAACATTGAATTTGATTTGAAGGAAAAAACCATAAAATTGCGAATTTCACTGAAAGCTCAACAGAATTTCACATTTCCATCCAAAAATTCCACTACTCACTTGAATTCTCAATAGAAATATGAAAATTTACCAAATTATGCTGAATTTTAAATTAATTAGAAATTCCAGAATATAATTACCTAAATTTTTCTAATTTATATCAGTTTTCATGAAATAAATTGACTGAAATTTCTAGTCTCCATTGATTTATGTTCAATTTTGAATTTTCAATGACGAAATCTTTTACCGTTTTTTCGGAACTATTTTTGGATAAAAATTTCGAAGGAGTGTACCGGAAATTACAGAAAAAAATTTTTTACTGGGTTTACACTGCAAGTTTTTATTTTCCAACACTAAGTAACTGAATTTAAGAGGCAATGGAACTTACCATCGGAGTATAAACTGGATTCCAAGTTTTTTCGTCGTCAGACGACTATTTAGCAAAACCCAAATTCTACATCATCAATAATCTTGGTATCTATAATGTAAGAGTTTGTGTTTTGATAAATAGTCGTCTGACGACGAATAAACTTGGAATCCGGTTTCTACTCTCATGGTAAGTTCCATTGCCTCTTAAGAAATTGTTGGTGCTAAGAGGCATGGTACAAAGAATAACAGACTGATTACTCAATTTCAATAGAAACATGCCTAAATTCTCGTCGTAATATGTGGAGAAGCTTCGGCCTTTGCCTTTCTACATTTTTAAAGAGATGGCCGTTAAGGCCATAGGAATAATAAATTTCAGAGTTTATTTAAAAATACTTGAAACATGAGTGGATTAATTTTAGAAAAAGAAAAATCATGAATTCAAGACCCCAAATGTTCTGAGTTTCACAATCAAGACTGTCTTAAAATAAAACAAAATATGCCAAAATTTAACTACAATTATACTAGATTTCAGTACGATAGAGTTCTAAAATGCAAATATTTTTATTGAAGCTAGAAACTTCTTTTTCTCAATGTCGATTTTAGAACATAATGTGAAAAACCTGGTTCCGTAAAAAAAATTGTCAGAGACAAACGACATATCCTTCAACAATTTTCTGAAAATCCTTAATTCGAACAACATTGCATGCTAAACAAAAATTTTAATTCCGCACGGCTTCATAACTAAATCTATGATTTATTCTCTTCAGTTCCAAAGAGCACTGCAGCTCCAGCTTCCACCGGATTCAGTTTAGGAACTCCTGCAGCCAGCACAACAGCCTCGACTCAACCCCTGACCTTCGGAGCAACTCCAACATCAACCCCAGCAACGACTGGCTTCACTCTAGGTGGAAGCACCCCTGCGACAGGTGGACTCAGCTTTGGACTTGGAGCTTCGACTCCTGCAGCAGCTCCTGCAACCACTAGCCTCACCTTGGGGACTCCAGCATCGAGTGCAGCGTCTGGGTTCAGTCTCACAGCTACCACGAGTGCCCCAACTTCCTCGACGTCGTTCTCTCTGGGGACTACAACCCCTGCCACAACTTCCTCACTCGGATTCAGTCTCCCAGGGACTACCTCCACTGCTAGCACCGGATTCAGTCTGGGTAGCACTGCTCCCACATTGACTGGAGGTTTTTCCTTAGGGAAAACCACTGCTCCCACTATCACTGCTACAGTGACGAGCACTACTGGATCTCAAGTGTCTTTGGGGAGTGTTACAACGTGAGTAAATGCATAGTCTCTAACAGTTATTTCCAAAAAAAACAATTGATTTTTTGTTCGGAGCCCCATTTAACATTCAGTTTCCACATATTTTCCAATGATTTTGTTATTTAAATTTCACTGGTCTGAATTTGAACCTGAATATTGAATCGTTAGAAGACATTTTAAAAATCTAAAATGAAATTAGAAAGTTTACTCTTGGGCGAAGATTGATGAAATAATTTTAAAAATGCAATCTTTGAAAACTACTAACGTTATTTATAAATAATTTATAAACAATCAATTTTCCACCATAAAAATCATTTGTTCGCATTGGCAACAAATTTATTCATATTCAAAATTTTACCAGAAATCGATTTCATGCCTAAAAAAGTAAGGTTTCCGAAAGTTTAAACAATTTCAATTATTTGCTTATAAACAATGAATATTGAAAAAAATAATATGTCTGTGTAAAATTCGAATGACGCTGAATATTCATGATTTTTTTCGAAGTTTGCTCACGCAATTTAATTGACAAATTTGATGATTGAAAATGGAGTATCGCCTGTACCAAACTGTAGAAGATACTTGGATATCCTTAAGTGACAATAACTGGGACATTGACGGTGCTTCATTAACGCTCCAGTCAACGATGGTTGAATATCTGCCATTCCATTAAAAATAATTGAAATTCATTGAAGTAATTGGCTTAATCTCTTGAATTTCCAGGGTTACATCATCAGCAGGGGCTGCACAAACTGGTGGAATGAACTTCTGTCAGCTTGAAGAGGCAATAAACAAATGGACCCTTGAGCTGGAAGAACAAGAGAAAGCTTTCGTCAATCAGGCAACCCAAGTGAACGCCTGGGATAGGCTCCTCATCGCCAATGGCGAGAAGATAGTGACTCTGAATGAAGAAGTAGAACGAGTTAAACTGGAGCAGCAGCAGTTGGAGCAGGAGTTGGATTACGTCGTCGGTCAGCAAAAAGAACTTCAGGATTGTCTTGTCCCTCTTGAGAAGGAACTGGCATCGATATCTGTTTCTGATCCGGAGAGGGAGTACACTTACAATCTCGCTGAGAATCTGGACACTCAGCTGAAGCAGATGTCTGAGGATTTGAAGGAGATTATCGAGCATCTGAATGAGGCCAATCGTGCGCAGGATTCTAGTGATCCAATTGTCCAGATCGGGAAGATTCTCAATGCTCATATGAACAGTCTACAGTGGCTGGACCAGAGAACGGAGATTTTGGGACAGAAGATACAGCAGATCGATCAGATGCATCAGAACTTCAGACAGGAGAACGAGCGGAGTTTCAGTCTTGCTTACAATTGATTTTTTTTATTGTTGATAGTATGATTTAAATTGGATTTTCAAGAATTGCTCGTAATAAAATTTTCTCAGACTTTGAATAGCTGTTTTACTTTTCCACAACAATTTAATAGGATAATTGAGGAGAAATGGAGGTGTTATTAATGAAATATCATGTACCAGTTTGGCTGAGAGCATAGAGATAGATTTAGAGATTCTTTTAAAATATTTCTGGACCCATTGAGTTCAAGGAAATATGTCAGGAGACCCCTTTTAGAGAATTTGATCAGCTACAGATGACTTTTCCCTACATTCTTTGATAAATCCACTAGTCCTAAAACTTTTGCAAAAATTGTTTCTGTAAAATTGTCCAATTTTTTTCAAATAAGGAGGGGCTTCAACCTTGCTTACAATTGAATTTTTAAATTATTGATATTATGATTTTGAGTGGATTGCCAGAAATAGTTCGTAATAAGGTTTTCTCAAACGACCAACTAATTTACTTCTCCAAAACAATTTAGTGGGATAAACTACAAGAAATTTATGCATTCTTATTTAAATCCAGAAGTTATCTTAAATCTTTTAGGAACCATTAGGTTCGAAGCCATATGTCAGGGAGCCCTTACATAGAGAATTTTATGAGCTGCAAGTGGCTTCTCCTTACATTCTTCGATAAATCCACAAGTTTCAAAGACTTGCAAAAATTACTTGTATGAAATTTTCAAAAAAGAAATCATTTAAAGTAAGCGGTTTGCATAAAAAGTCAAGAAACTATCTTTTTTGTAGAGAATTTAATTGACAAGCGAAGAGATCTTTCCATATTTCCTTATAAAGCTCATAGCTTCATGGATATTTGAAACATCATTCGTACCAAATTTTGACAATAATTTGTTTCAACTGAATGCCAAAAAAAGATCATCTCATGAATTAACTGGTATTGCAAGAATATATTTATAAAAATAGTTTTATTTTTATTAAATTATAAGAAAATTTTGTTATTCTATAATACAGTAGCGGGTAAGAAATAATGAATCTTGAAGTTATCATTCAAATTCAGATGTAGATAGACTACTGTATCTCGAAGAATACTACACTTCACAGTTTCTGGATGAACACAGTCCCAAGCAAGGAACATTAGGAATTTCTTAATATCAACAGTTACTGCGATCCTTTCCTCCTCTGTCTCGTTTTCCTGGTGAATGTGAAGGCTTGGGAAGTGTGTGGAAACGCAGGATGAGTCTGTCTCGATTTTTAGAATTAACATTCCATCGTTGCTGGCGAATATTGACAATAGAGGGCTCAAGTTCTTCATCTTTTCTGCTACGTTCTTCAGGTGTTTTAATTGAGGGAGGTCTAATGATATCTAAAATAGTCAAAAGACACAATAAAATAAAGAGTTCAATGGTGAATCATTTTTTCAAGATCAATTGTCTAATATGGACCATTAGAAAGTTTAAAAAAATGCACAGATTGTTTTGCAAATATCCCTGAAAATAGTAGGTTCAGAGAAAAATTTCTCAGGATCTTGTTTGTAGTTCAAAAAATTTTGAGGCAAAAAATTTCTGCAGTTCTACCTCTAAATCCAAAAGTTCTGGGGATATTTACCGAATAATGTGCATCACAAATTTGAAAATGAAATGAATAAATGGAAATTATGCAAATTGGGTTGCAATGATCTTGGCAATAAAGATGACGGAAGAAATATCTGAAGACATTTCGTAGAAAATTGACTAGGCTACAAGGAAGGTCTTTTGATAAATTGAATCCCATCCATTATAAGAGATATTTCCAAATATTGATATTTCAGTAGTAAAGTGATAATAAATTAAAGTGATTTTTTCACATTGTTAAAACCCTAGCGCATTGGCTAAAAATTTCTTTTTTTTTCACGAAATCTGAGAAATTCCTCTGCCTAATTTACTGAAAATTTTCAATTCATTTTTCTAATGAAAGAAGAAAAATGGAAGGAAAAAACACAAAATTGACATCAAGGAATTCCTTTAAATATTAACCGAACAGACGAAGTGTTAAAGAAAATCAGTGTGATAAAATCAAATTCTATAAATTATTTCTATAAAAGTCTTTGTTGAGCAGATTTTATTTAAAAAATCGCGCAGAACAACGTCGGAAATTTTCAACAGAATTGGCGAAAAACTAGCAGAATTTGCAATAGAAGTTTAACAGAAATCCACTAAAATTTTCTAGCGAATTAACTAGGTTTTCCTATGAAATTTTTTGTTTACTTGTTCCAGAGATGAATGAGCAACTTTCAGGATTGTCCCAATTGTATCATCAGTTCATTCTTGATTATCAATCATCATTTAAGTGTATAAAGAACGAACTTTTATGTGTATTGAATAAAATTACGAATCAGCATTGATAGCGCAATTCTTCAAAAAATTAAAGTCAAGCAAAAAATTGAATAAAAGAAGTAAAAATCCACGAGAAAAATCTCTTCATCATTTTGCCAGCAATAATTTATAGAAAATAAGAATTTGACCTTACATGGAAAGAGGGGATATCTGGTGGATGATAACTAGGCCACTCCTTCCTGGCCACCATTCTGACGGGAACATCATGAATACACTGCCAAGAATCAGAACTTGCTGAGGATAATTCAATTTCCAGCGTCAAACAGGGCTGCTGCTTATTCGTCAACTTGATCTTCACGCTTGTAGCACTTTGTTTCAACGAAGTTAGTGATTTTGACAGCATGACAGCATCGAACTCCAGATAAATTTTGTTTTCTGAGGAGAGACCTTCCACGAGGTACTCACTGAAAAAATGATCTCTGGATAACTCTGCCCACACGACCGGTTGTCTATCATCGAAAACCGTGAAGCAAACGTCGTTTGGAGTCAGTTGGAGAACGCAAAATTTTGACATTTTTGCTATTGCACCAATGATATCTGAACGGAAAAAAAAATCAATTATTGAGGATAATTTCATGAAATTATATTCGATTGTTCGCAATTTACCAAGTTAACGAATTTCATACAAATGAATCATTTCAATTTTATTTGCATGTCTCCAGAGCAAAAAGTAAGTTATTCTTCTCATATATTATTTTTACAAGAGTATATCGAGTATTCCATGTCAAATATGTCAACGGCTGACCTTCACGCGTTTAGAAATTGATTTCGATTTTTTCTACGATTAGGGGGCTAGAAAAACTATCTCTCAATTTTTTCAGATTTTTTCGATAGCCCATTTCGGAGATATGATTTTTCTTTGTTTTTTTCAATTTTTTACTATCTCTAAGAATATTTTGACTAATTTTTTTTCAATCCTTAGGTGCTCATAATACCGAATTTTCAAATAAAAAGTTGAAAAACTTGAATTTTCTAAATTATGTAACGTTTTATTTTTCTCGTAGTTTTTTCAGTAACTCTTGTAATCAAAACAAGTATTTTGAGCCCTCATACAAGTTGAATTTTTTCTTCTCGAAATTCCACGAATTTGGTCAAAATACCCCAAAATGGCGTTGATTGACTTTAATTATGAGTAGTAAGAAGTGAATTTAAATGTATACTTATATATTACATATTTTTTTGATACACAATCGACGTCGTTTTGGGGTATTTTGTGTAATTTTAGTTATAATTTGAAAAAAAATCATTGTAAACTATCAACAATCGGAGAACCCTTGACATTCAAAACAAGAATTGAAAAAACGGAAAAAAATAGTTGATTTTATTACGTGATTTGAAAGGTTATGAATCGAACTCACTCGTGAAATCCTTCATTGCGAGGCTGTCAGTCATTTTACACCTGAACTTCATGTTGAATTCCTATTTCTCCACGAAATAACGTGAGAATAATCTTCCTAGAATGTAAATAAATCCTCAGCTACTCCAAAAACCATTGTCTTATTTTGGCGGGAATTCTAGTCCATGAGTAACTCTCACGCTTATACTTCTCCTGCTTCATTCAACTCTCAGTAGATGTCGCCACAATTCAGAGTTAAATCCCCATCGAACTCTTTGTTTTCACTCCGATATTCATCACTCCTGTCATCATTTCCCTCCGACCTCCAGAGTAAACACGTGATTCGTGATGAATTCACAATAAATATTGATTTATTTCGAGGAATAAGGTAGCTATTAAGTCGAGTCAGTGCTAGTCATCAGTTCGATTAATTTCTCTAGAAATAACTCTTCAGAATGCAATAGTCAATTCATGTTATTCTCGACACCGTCAGTGATAATTAGGACTATTGCCATGGAATATTTTACTCATTGGTTGCTGAATGATAAAACTGGAGATGGAAAGCCAGTGAAACGGAGGAAGCTGCGAAAAACGAGGAAGAATACGAAGAAGCAGAAGTCAAGGTAAAAATGGAGAATACATATTCCGGGGCCTCCATGAATCAAAAGCGCGGGAGAAACTTCCTTTGTTTACATTCTCGTCGACTCCTGTAGTGACTAGTGCATGATCCGTGTAAACATGCGGTGGTAAATACAAAAAAAGAGAAATGAGTGAATGGGACAAAGAGCAATGATTTTTTTGCTTGCAGAATTCTTTTTTTGCTCGTTCTGTTCTGAATAGATTCTCTCGGGGAGAGGTCAATGAATGAATTGAGTTCTATCATTTTTTTGAGCTCTTAATGAAATTGCTTTAGAGTTATTTGGTGACTCTATCACTGGTCAATTAATTTGATTGATTCAACGACTATTGTGGCGAGAAATGAGAAATGGACTGTTCTCTAAAGATGTTAAGAATCGAAACGGTTTGAAAAAAAATTTTTAGACTCGTTTTCGCGGAAAATGTGAAGCCGATTTTTCTCAAGATATTTACAGAATAATATCGATGATTCTTTGGATTCATATCTTTTTCTTTTTGCGCAAATAGAGTTTATGTTGATTAAAAATGAATGAAGTCTCATTAGGAAATTTCTTATGTGAGCAGATCCACGCCAAGTCAGCAGGACAAAGAAGTCGATGTCGGGAATTTTCGTCTCAATTGTTTTCTGAAAAAATGGCGATTAGACAAAATTTTTGAAAAAAGCAGAATTGAAAAATATGGATAATTGAGAGAGTTATGATTTTATGACAATTGCTAGTTTTTGTCCAAAAAAAATTTTCTTCCAAATTGGCCCCAATATCTCTACGGGTTTTCAAGCTATCATATCGTCCTTCAGCAAGCTTAGAGAAAATGAAAAACCCTTTAAAATGAGACGTTATACATAAAATGATCTTCAGTTCGACGGGGTTTATAAGAGAAAACGTTTTTGTTAATTCGTTAATTACTCAAAAAATTAATTTTTTTAGTCTAAAATTTTTACTAAAAATTGTTAATAAAATGTCAAGAAAAACAACTGTTTGACGCAATTCAAGCGAAAAAAAATTTTTTTTTATTAAGATTCTTTTATTCTTGAAGTACTTATAAAAATAATAATTTTCCATTCAGTAGAATGAAAAATTATTATTCTCATCAGTACTGTCAAGAATAAAAAACAATTAACAACAAAAAATATTTAATAAAAAAAAATTTTTTTTGCTTGAATTGCCTCAAACAGTCGTTTTTTTGACTGTTTCATTTTGCTCCACTATTTCATTTTGCCTCACTCTCCCGTAATTGAAGTGATAATGATTTGGTAAAGATGAGCGTGTATGAATTCACATCCATCCATGAGAATTTTTTCCATGAAATATCAATTGAGGTAATAAACGTTTTTTATCTTTTTGATACTTATGAAGCACATAAACTTCTCTCGATTTTTTGATCCAGTCAAGTTCGATAGGAATTTGAGGAACTGTTGATACATCTAGAACATTCGACAGATTATTACGTAAATATCAGTGGGAGAGAGAGGGTTAGGGAAATTCTTGAGAAACCTTCTTTGAAAATAAAAATGATTCCCTAGAAAAATATTGCTATTCAGTACGGAAGCTACAAGTTTCCGAGATATTTCTGATGGGACGCACTACACAGGTTCCATATTAATTTTTTCAACCTTGGGCTCTAAAGGGAAGGGTTTACATCAAAATAAGTTTATCAAGAAACCTTTTTTTTCGTGGAGAATATACGGCTCGTGGGGCAAAATGGAGTCTTTTGACTTTTTTTTCAATATTCATACATCAGAAACAAATTGGTCAATCGAACTCAAACCAGGTTCATCACAAAAGGAAAGACTTGTATTTCCCATGAAAGAACAAAATCCCATTTAATTGAAAATTCAATAAACCATTGACCTACGACAATAGTCTATTTTGCCCCACTCTCCTGTGAACCCATTCATTCTGAAGTTCGCAAAATGCTCTGTATGGAATTCTTGACGAACTTGAAATGTAATCGGAAACATTAGAGGCTGGAGAATTTTCCTTTCAGTCATTGACAAAATTATATTATTCATATAGGGGAGGATAGGGCAAAGCGGAACGCAGGGCAAAACGGGCCCCTAGGGCGCAAAGAACCACTGACAAAAAATTGGTAATTTTCGTTTTCTTTTCTTTCCTTCAAATCAGGAACACTGAATGTGTTGAATTAAAATTGAGTTTCAGGATCATAACCGTCACAGAGGTTTTATAGACAAGAAGTATCGTTGAACCGCAATTTGATCAGATTTGCTAATCACCTCAAACCACAAATGATTTTGAATTTTTGTTTTTCCTTCCATTCGAAAGCAAAAACTATGAAAAAATTTAACAATTATCAATTTTCTATCAGTGGTTCGTTTTGCCCTACCCTCACCTACACGGAGAGAAATTTTTTAGAAAAATTCTAGTGCTAGCACGGGAAAAGAGGCGCAAAGTGACGGCCAGGAAAAAATTCCGGTGCGGGCACTAGAAATTTTATTGGGGAAAACGTGAATTTTTCCCCGTATTTCTGTGAAAATTTCACAGATATTCCCAAATTTCAACAACTAATTGTTGAAATTCACCAAATAATTTTCTCCGTGTCGTGCCTTTTCAGGATAAAAATATCTTTTACAGAGGAAAGTTTATCAAGAAATATCTTGTCCTTAAGTTACAAGATTGTTGCCATATCATTATTATTATTTAATTTAAGAATTCATTTTTTGTTTATGATTATGGAATAGCCGCAACGATAAACTATACTATCCCTCGTTTCATAAACGAGTATTTGCCGGGAGTAAAATATGTACGGGAGCATCAAATAACGAAGAAATGCTAGAAATTATATTTCTTGCTTGCATAGAGAATACCATTTTTTGTTTAAAACTAAATCAATTTTTGCAATAGGAAATTTTCAAACTCAGCACACGCTTCGCATATTTGGCGCAAAAAATCCTCTTTTGATAATTTTTAACAAACGATTTTTTTGGCACAAGTAAGACTTGTTTGAGAATTCGGCTGTTTTTTTCTCAGTGTAGACTTTGAGATTTCACCTCGGTCTCTGCTTTAATTACCCACAATCAAACGGCAAAATGAAAAATCTCAATTCTTCCTCGAGGAGAAAAATATCGAATCTCCAAGTGATTCCCCCGATTCCACGTAAATAATCCCCAATTCTAAAATCCGGTGAATCTTCTAAAATGAGTCAATGAATACAAATTTAGAATTTCCTGAAATTCACTTAAAACCCCCGAAAAGTCGGCAACTTACAGATGACAAAGTAAACACCCTTCGTCTCTTTAAATAAATCGATAAGACTATACACATCCATCAAAATATTCGGCCCAATTCAAAATATTATTCTTCTTCCATTCCCCCTGGCGAATGAAATGAACTGAGAGTTCTCCAACATATAGTTCTCATCACCTTCACCTTCCCGAGTGAAAATTCAAATTAGGATAGAACAAGAGACTGACCAGTAAAAACTGATTTTGATCAATTTTGGATCAGAAGTGTAACGCTTGTTTGGGTCCATGCCTGGTCAAAATTCTATGATTCGATCTTCCTGAACAGCACCGGATCCGATACGGATCTAGTCGAGATTTGACTGATCAGAATAGGATCACAATTCATTCCGCCACAATGGATACAGATACTCCATTCAGAATCTCATCAGATCCTGATCCGAAAGACTAATCAATAAATTCTGACCAGTATGGAACCTAAAACTAATGTAGATCCAAGCTAACTGAGTGAAATTTCCACTCGGGTTCCGCAGCCCATTGGCCTCCTCAACAGCCTAAAACTACCTTTATCTGCTCCTTGGTTTTAACATTTTCTCCAGTCTCTTGAATCGAATTGTACGCTATCCGAGACAGGTGGCAAGACACGTGGCACGCGAAGAAACCCACCGGTGTGTCTTCTTTTCACTTCTCCTCCACCTCCTTTAGCTCGTCACATCTCCTTTCAATTCCTCGCGTCTGTCTCTCACCCTAGTGTATGCACATCCGGCGGCCATCCACCCCAAAAATTCGTAATAAGGGGAAAGACGGGGGATCCTTGGAAAAATCGTAGACAGGGGTGGTAAAAGGCGGGAGCGCGTGCACGCAACAGCTGCTGAGGACGCGCGACCTCGTGATGACGTGACGTGAGGAAGACATTTGGTCTCTCCGTTGGTCTTACGAATTTTTATTCAATTTTATTTGAAGAAGTTTCGTGGGGTTTTGTATTCAAATTATAGGAATTTTTCATTCTTTGCGATTCGTTCAATTGATTTTGAGAGAGAATGTCTGGGAACCTTTTTTGAAGCCAAACAAATCCACCATGCCGAATGTCTTTTGATAATTTTTCATGAAACGACAAATTATTAATGGCATAATCCCAGGATCTTACGTCGTGATGTGGAATACTTGTTATTTATTCAGTATCATAGAAAGGAATGTTGGAAGAAAATGTCAGAAAATTCAATCTAAAGCAGATGTTATGCCCCAAATTTGATCAATTGCATTCTTGTCGTATAGTATAGAGACATGCACCATTATCAACGTGACTCGATTTAACTCGATTGTAGTGACAATATGACGAAACATAAACAAGCGATTTAT